ACGTTCGTGGAATTGCTGCTTCAGTAATTCAACGGAGACTAAAAAAATTAAAAATGATGCGCAACATCAAGCTGCTTGTTGTTTTAGAACCTATGGTGAATACCAACAAAATACATTATATTAAAAGGAGATTGGGTTTTGAGTTGGCGATTGCTAATTGCTCTCAAAAAATATGGTTTTTTTTGTACTAATGATATCTACTGTGAAGTGTTGCTGGATCAAGTTCAATGCTTACATGTTAAACTGTCTTCCCCGTGGCTTGCACAATCAGTCTATGCATCCTTTGTTTACGCCAAATGCACCTGACTTAAGAGAATGGACCTCTGGAATAATCTGAGAATAATTTCAGAAGATATACAGGCACCGTGGCTGGTTGGAGGGGATTTTAACTCCATAGTAAGCTGTGAGGAACAATTGTATGGACCCATCCCGCATGATGGATCTATGGAGGATTTGGCTTCCACTCTTCTAGATTGTGGGCTAATTGATGCAAGGTTTGAAGGGAATACTTATACCTGGACCAATAACCGCATGTTTCAAAGACTGGACCGTGTTGTATATAACCATGAATGGGCAAAATTATTCTCTTCCACAAGAAAGCAGCACCTCAACCAGGATGGATCTGATCATTGCCCACTTCTTATATCTTGCTCAAACACAAATCAAAAAGGTCCAATAACTTTCCGTTTTTTACATGCTTGGACAAAACACCATAATTTTCTTTCCTTTGTAGAACGAAGCTGGGTTACTCATCTCCAAGCATCAGGAGTGATGGCTTTTTGGGGCTAAACAACAACGGCTAAAGAGAGACTTAAAGTGGTGGAATAAGCAGATCTTTGGGGATATTTTTAAGAATCTTCGCTTGGCAGAAGCTGAAGCAGAGCAGAGAAAACATAAGTTTCAGCAAGAACCCACAGTAATTAATAGAAATTTGATGAACAAGGCCTATGCAAAGCTTAACCACTAACTAAGTATTGAAGAGCTTTTCTGGCAACAAAAATTAGGTGTCAGATGGTTGGTAAAAGGGGAACGTAATACCAAATTCTTTCATATGAGGATGCGGAAAAAAAGAATGAGAAATCATATCCTCATGATTGAAGACCAGGATGGGAATGTTTTAGAAAAACCCCAATTAATCCAAGGTTCAACCATCGAATTTTTTCAGAATTTGTTGGAGGACTACAGTGACATATCCAGGTTTGATTCCTCTCTCATCCCTGAAATTTTGAATACTGAGGATAATGATTTTCTGTGTGCAGCCCCTTCGCTTCAGGAAATTAAAGAAGCGATTTTTAATATCAATAAAGACAGTGTGGCTGGTCCAAATGGGTTCACTTCACTCTTTTATCAACATTGCTGGGAGATAATTAAGCAGGATCTTTTTGAAGTCGTGCTAGATTTTTTCAAAGAATCCCCACTTCCGCGTGGTATCACTTCCACAACGTTAGTTCTATTGCCTAAGAAGCCGAATGCCTGTAGATGGAGTGATTTTCATCCTATCAGCTTATGCACTGTCTTCAATAAGATAATAACAAAACTTTTGGCGAACTGACTCTCCAAAATTCTTCCATCAATAATTTCTAAGAACTAGAGTGGTTTTCTTACTAGTCGACTCATCAGCGACAATATCCTATTGGCCCAGGAACTCATTAGCAAACTTGATGCCAAATCGAGGGGAGGTAATGTGGTATTAAAACTTAATATGGCCAAAGCATATGACCGGATGAATTGGGACTTTATCTATATGATGCTACAACAATTCGTTTTTAATACACAGTGGAAAAATATGATCAAAGCATGCATCTCCAATTGTTGGTTCTCCTTACTTATCAATGGTTCATTGGTGGGATACTTCAAATCATAGAAAGGTCTACGGCAAGGAGATTCTATCTATCCTCTTTTGTTCATCCTGGCAACAGAATATTTGTCTAGAGGCCTCAACAACTTATTTAGTCACTATACTTCTCTGCATTAGCTATTGGGTTATCGAATGCCGGTTAGTCATCTGGCTTTTGTTGATGATATAGTGATTTTTACTAATGGATGTCGTTCAGCCTTGCAGAAGGTTATGGATTTTTTACAGGAATATGAACATGTGTCTAGGCAGTAGGCCAATCATGAGAAAAGCTGCTTTATCACATCTAAGGGTTGTGCATTGGCGAGGAGGCAAATTATTTCACAAACCACTGGATTTCATCATAAAACATTCCCTGTCATCTACCTTGGAGCTCCACTCTATAAAGGACCGAAAAAGGTATTTCTTTTCGATGCTTTAATTACTAAGATTCGGAATTATATTCAAGTTGGGAAAACAAGATTCTATCACCAGGAGGCCGTATCACATTGCTGAGAAGTGTCCTTTCCTCCCTTCCAATGTACTTATTACAAGTTCTGAAGCCACCGGTGACAATCATTGAGAAAATAAAAAGAATTTTCAATAGCTTTCTGTGGGGGGACTCAAATGAAAGTAAAAAGATGCACTAGACAGCTTGGAGGAGAATCACTTTCCAAGCTCGGAGGGGGGTCTAGATATTAGGAGTTTGACTGATGTGTTTGAAGCCTTTACAATGAAATTATGGTGGAGATTTCAGACAGCCCGAAGCATATGGACAGATTTTTTGAAAACCAGATATTGCCTTGGACAAATACCACACTATGTACAACCGAAATTACATGACTCCTTAGTCTGGAAACGGTTGATTGGTGGAAGGAATGCTACAATGCAAAACATGCAATGGAGGATAGGAAAAGGTGAATTATTCTTTTGGCATGATTGTTGGATGGGTGACCAACCTCTAGTAACTTTGTTCCCCTCTCATCAAAATGATATGTCCTATGTTAATACATTTTATAGTGATGATGATTGGGCTGAGGATAAGTTGCGATTATATCTACCTGTGAATCTAGTTGCTGAGATTTTGCAGATACCTTTTGATAGATCACAAGATGACATTGCTTATTGGGCACTAACCACGAATGGGGAATTCTCAACTAGGAGTGCTTGGAAAACAGTAAGAAAACGCCAAACACCAAATGCTATGGGAGCTCTGCTTTGGCACAAAAGCATTCCGTTATCCATATCCTTTTTCTTATGGAGAGTATTAAATAATTGGATTCCGGTTGAACTTCGATTAAAGGAAAAAGGTATTCAATTAGCCTCCGAATGTAAGTACTGCAATTCTGAGGAGTCTTTAATACTTGTCATATGGGAAAGTTCGGTTGCGAAACAGGTTTGGATTTTCTTTTCAAATTTCATTCAAATAAGTGTGCTGAATCCTCACCATTTTTCTCAAATTTGTTGGCATGGTATTACTCTGGTGATTGCGTTACAAAGGGTCACATCCGAATTTTAATTTCGATATTTATATGTTGGTTCATGTGGTTGGAAAGGAATGATGCAAAGCATAGGCAACTTGGAATGTATCCTGACAAAATTATCTGGCGAGTTTTGAAAATGTTGAGACAACTACATGCAGGGTCCCTTTTGAAACAATGGCAATGGAAAGGCGATTTACATATAGCCAATATGTGGGGCTTTAACTTCCCTCCAAAATATCATCCCCCTCCTCAAATAATATACTGGATTAAGCCATTTATGGGTGAGTATAAGTTGAATGTAGATGGTAGCTCCAAGAACAATCAAAATGCTGCAAGTGGAGGAGTCCTTCGGGATCATTCAAGTAAACTGATCTTTGGTTTTTCACAAAATATAAATCCTTGTAATTCCCTACAAGCGGAGCTTCATGCTTTATACCGAGGTCTGCTCTTATGCAAACAACGGAATATAAATAACCTATGGATAGAAATGGATGCATTAGTGGTTGTACAGATGATCTAAAACTCCCACAAAAGGTCACATGACATCCGGTATTTGTTGGAGTCCATAAGGAAGTGTCTTAGCAGCATTTCATTCAGAATATCGCATATTTATCGAGAAGGCAATCAAGCAGCAGACTTCCTCTCTAACCAGGGATACATGCATCACCATCTACGTGCTTTCTCACAGGCCCAAGGTGAACTGCATGGCATGCTAAAATTATATAGATTAAATTTACCATATGTTCGGTTTAAAATATTTCCGTTCACCCATTCTTCAGATCAGAAGAAAATGCTAATGCCATTACCCACGAGCCTGCTCAAATTGTTTGCCACCTGCGAGAAAACAAAGTTAGTAGGGGAAAGAGGGGCACTAAATAAGTTTGAGTATTATTTATGTATACCGCAAGATACTCTGTTTGTACATTTCTTGAATCACATCTATAGTTCCAATTATCAAAATGCAGCTTTTCTTGGATAAAAGAATCATCTTGTTTTCATTCTTGGAATTTTAAATTTCTTGATACCTGTTTGAATTGAAAGTGAATTTTTTTACAGGTCATGAAAGGAAGACAGCGAGGTCTACAGGAAAAGGCTGGTAGTTTCTTCTGCCAGGTGTGCAAAGCGTTCTTCAAATTCTTCGAGGGATTGGAGGAGCATTACAATGATCTTAAAACCAAACACAAAGGGGCATCTGTTTGCCACACCTGCGAACAAGTGCACCATAAGGGAGCGCATGTGAGATGTTCCAGAGGAGGAACAAGTTCCGGACGAGGAATAAAATGAAGTTTAAGATGCAAAACGACTGCAGGTGATTCTGATTTGTGAATGGTAGAGTTTTTTTGTTTCTGTCTGCCAAGTGGTGGTTTTTGGTTTGACTTTGCTCCATCAACCCCTTGTTTGTGATGCTACCAAAACTTTTGTAGGTAGTTGGTTTGACAATTATACCATCACTTTTCAAAAAACCAAAAAAAAAAAAGCAGTTCTAAGGTAATTTCATGATAAGCTAAACACAATTCATCATTAATAACCAAGTGCATCAAATCTCTTTTCTAATGAACTCTTAGGCCTTTGTCAAACAGCACATCCATACACAGAAGTTCATTGAAAGCAAATGCAACGCGGCCACCAAACTTTAGAAAGCCTTAAAACTCTTAAATCAGTCACATTAAACATAGAACTAGTATAACTGTTTTAGCCTCTATAAAGTCCTAAGTCAGTCAAAGACTGAATAGTTCTGCATTTCTTTGACACACAGTCTTCTTTTTCCTTGATCCTTCTGCTACATAGAGCATCACGAAAATCCCTGCCAGCCCTTTTCAGTAACTAAACTCAAAATATCGGCACTGCAAATTCTAGAAACAAGAGGACAGACGATAGCAACTGGTAAAGCATCAGAAGAGTGAATCTATAGATTCAGGAAAAAGAAAGCGGTAGGCAGGGAAGAGAATGCTCACCGCTACCGGTAGATACGGAGATGGAAAGAAGGGAAATTAGGAAACTCGAAAGACCTAAAGTGCCGTCGTTTTAGCTTCTAGCAGTATACTCTTGGCTGTGTCTGCGGTAATGAGTGATAGAGCGACAAATGGCAATTTTTGGTTCACTTGCACGCATGGGCTTTATATAGAGAAAGTCAAGCTGTAAGTGTTAAATAAAAGCCACATGCCCCTCTGATTCTATACAAAATTTTCTTTCTTCTTCTCCAACACCACCGCAACTCTCATCCGCCGCTCCACTCAACCTGTGAGTTCTCGTCCAACTTCTTCTTTCCTTGACAGGTACCTACTCTTCGAATGGACAATTTTTTATCAATATAAACCATTCTATTTTTTCATTATTAGACTGGCTTACAAAATTTTTAGCTTTAGGGCTGTGAACTTTCCGTTTCCTGAATTTTACCTTCAACATTCAAAGTTGAACATTTTACTCACTCCTCTTGCCTCCAATTATGGTAATTGGCTGCTTAATTATCCTAGTTTGTTGAGGTAGAGGAAAAAGAAGAGGGCAAGTAGCAGTAGCAGCCATGAGTCTTGTTGTTTCAGCCGGTGGTCACTCCTTCTGTTTGCAGGCCCGTAGAGGGTTTTCAATTTCGAAATCAAAAGTGCCCAAATTGAGCCCGCGAGCTGCTTTGACAGAAGCCAGACCCAGAGTCAATGGTTCACTTGCGGTGCAAGTATTGAGAGGGGACCGAGCGGAGGACCTGCAGGCCGAGGCCAGGGCCATGGCACGTGCTGCCAATGCCTCTATCTACAGCCCTGAACTGCTTGCGCGCAAGTATGGGTCACGGCCTGTCCAGGTGATACTTTTGATTTGAACCGAATCAATGATAAAATAGAAGTCGTTATAAGGAATTAGTTAGGTTTCAAGTTTTTCTGATGAGAATGAAATTCCTGTGATTAGGCATTGAAGAGGACTTTGGAAATCTTGGTAGCCTTAGGTTCTTTTGCTTTGAAACTGTTGTTGGAGCAAAGGAATGGAATGCTGGATCGAAACAAGAGAAAGCGAGCCGCTGAGTTGAGGACGATCTTCACCAGATTAGGGCCTACTTTTGTAAAGCTAGGTCAGGGGTTATCCACTAGGCCTGACATCTGCCCACCCGAGTATCTTGAGGAGCTCGCTAGGCTGCAGGTTATTTTCTCTCTTTTCTTGGGGTTTTGATTTTGCTGTTATGCTCCTTAAACAGTTCCTTGGCTTGGATTAATTTCATTGACGTCCATCTTTATTAAGTCAGTCTGCTATTTGTAGGATGCTCTGCCTACATTTCCTGATGCAGATGCATTCTCATGCATCGAAACAGAGTTGGGGGTGCCGCTTGACTCCATTTTCTCTTCAATATCCCCTTCTCCTATTGCAGCCGCCAGTTTAGGCCAAGTCTACAAAGCTCAACTTAAGCGTTCCGGCCAAACAGTTGCTGTCAAGGTGCAACGACCTGGTATTGAAGAAGCTATTGGACTTGATTTTTACCTCATAAGAGGCCTAGGATTACTCATTAATAAATATGTTGACATCATCTCCAGCGATGTTGTTGCCCTGATTGATGAATTTGCCCGCAGAGTTTATCAAGAGCTCAACTATGTGCAGGTTAGGTTTTTTCACCAATCTTATAACATCATTTTGTATTTGATTCCCTCCTTTGGCTTGAAGAACAAAAACATCCTCAACAATCCATCAACTTTCTTTTCTTTTAGGGAAAATTTGCCATGTATATCTTTTCAGAATTTGTGAAACAGAATAACAAAAAGAGGTGCATTTGTCTTAATTTCTGTACCATTTTTTGGGGTATGATTGTTAATTTTGACAGGTGCCTGCAGGAGGGACAGAATGCAAGGAAATTCAAGATGTTGTATGCTGACAGGGAGGATATCCTTGTTCCAGATATCTTTTGGAATTATACAAGTGGCAAAGTATTGACAATGGATTGGGTTGATGGAGTGAAACTGAATGAGCAAGCTGCCATTGAAAGTCAAGGTTTGAAGGTTTTGGATTTAGTGAACACAGGTATCCAGTGCAGCCTTAGGCAGCTGCTAGAGTATGGATATTTTCATGCGGATCCTCATCCTGGAAATCTTTTGGCAACACCCGAGGGAAAGCTGGCTTTTCTCGATTTTGGAATGATGAGTGAGACCCCAGAGGAAGCTAGATCTGCTATCATTGGTCATGTTGTTCACATGGTCAATCGGGATTATGAAGCTATGGCTCGTGATTACTATGCTCTAGATTTCTTGTCCCCTGATGTAGATGTCGCCCCAATTGTGCCAGCACTGCGAGACTTCTTTGATGATGCTCTTAGCTACACTGTGAGCGAACTAAACTTCAAAACGCTAGTTGATGGTTTAGGTGCTGTTTTATATCAATACCCGTTTAATGGTGAGCTGATCTTTTTCATTTACTTTTGAGAGCTATCCTCAAGTCTGTTTACTGTATGCTTATATAATGGACCTTAACTGCGTTGTTGTATTGTAGTAAATGAAACAGTGCTTCTTTGACTGTTTTCTTGCTAACTTATTAACTTTTTTCAAAAAAATTTTACCACTATCATCATTTTGTATCCTGAAATTCCGATGTCTCAAAAAAACAGCTCCTTTTTTCTCAATACCCCCAAAGACTGAGCGAGGAGGGAGTGGATGCTATAACGTGGATAATTTCTTATGGATTCTAATGTTTTGGGTTTTCCATTTACTTGCAGTTCCTGCCTATTATGCACTGATATTGAGGTCGCTTACCGTGCTAGAAGGGTTAGCCCTTTATGCTGATCCTAATTTTAAGGTGCTGGCTGCCTCATACCCATACTTTGCTAAAAGGCTTCTAACAGATCCAAATCCATATCTGAGAGATGCTCTTATAGAGTTGCTTTTTAAGGATGGGAGGTTTAGGCATGTATTTGCTTCTACTGATTTACATGTCCTCTTTTTCTCTGCACATTTTGTTTGATGATATCTGCCCACCTAAAATCCCTGTAATTTCTGTTTGTGATAGGTGGAATAGACTAGAAAACCTTCTTGTTCAGGGAAGAAAGGACCGAGATTTCTCCGCGAAAGATGCTTTGCAACCTGTTTTAAAGCTACTACTGGGACCAGATGGTGAAGAGCTTAGGACTTTAGTAATTAAAGAGGCTGTTCGTGTTACTGAAGCTGTTGTTCTATGCACAGTTGTTGATACATACAACTCTGTACCCCCTTTTATGCGTACTCTAATGTTCAATGGCAATGGAGGTGGACCGCTTGTAATGAGTGCTACTGAATTGGAAAGCATGATAGAGCTTCGGGACCAGGTCTTTAGAATCTGGGGGCTTCTTCGTTCCTCTGAAAATTTTGATCCAGCACTTTTCCAGCCTATTTTACAAGTAAGTAAACCTTATTTGTGGTATAGTTTGGTTACAGTAGAAAAGAATATACAAAGACAACACAGAGAGAGAGACAGAGACAGAGAGAGAGAAGCCATAATTATTGCAACACTGTCTCACACTACTGTTAAAATTTCATTTTAATTGGTTTTAATGTCTGTCAGCTCTTTTAGTCAAAATACTTTTGGATGATTGATATATTATACTTTATTGAGGGCTAGTATTAATTGTTGATATAGGGTTTAAAATTGCATAAGATGCTCTCTTATTGATGTAGTCCAGAATTAATTCTAAGCTCTTATACATTTTCTTGTATCTGGTCATAAGCATGGACGATGATAACACTTCGTAAGCATGTGAACGTGAAGACTCATGGCATCAGAGTGTTAAGGAGTTAAATAAATAAAAACTCTAGATTATTAAGCTATGAACTTAGTAGCTCAATGACAGTTTCATTGACCCTCTGCCCTTCCACCGAAAAAATGGCTGCCCAAAGATTCTAAAATCAAATAGGGAAATACTTTGTCTGCCTTTTCGTGAAAGGTCTTCACCAGGAACTCTTTTTCATTGTGTTCAATAAATTTGAATGTTACTGTAGTGTGAATTGAGCAGCAAAGCTGTTAGGAGGTACTGATTTATAGTTTAAAAGTTGATGCTTTGATGGCTATGGGAAAATTGACAATCCTAGGACTATTTTCTCGAGCTCCAGAGACCACCTTTCCAAGATGTGCATATATTTTTGTAATTTCACCAAGATGTCTTTCAAGAACATTTTTTTTTAACAAAAAAAATTGCAATCATTCTTAATTGATCCTTTAAAAGGCCCGATGTTAGAAGCTCTGGGGAGTTCATGCTGAAAGTAAATGAGGATCTAACTTTTGGAAGTAGCAATTGGCCCAAATCATTTCTTTACACAATTATAATATTTAATGGAGCTGGCTAATGAAGGGTTCTTGAGCAGGTCCTTCAACAACCTGATGCACGAATTCTAGGGGGGCGTGTGGTTGGTGGGATCACTCAGCGTCTTGCAGCTCGCTTACTGCAACAAGTTCTTCGAACACCAGCAGTTCCTACTTCAAGCTTATGAACATTGAACTTTGGGTAAGCTGATAAATGTATTTTGTACACCTGAAAATCTACAAACCATTCTTTTCCTGTCAGTTTATTCAACTAAAAGGAATGATGTCAGAAAAATTATACCAAAAAGAATACACCTTTTTGGGAATGTACCTTCTTATCAAAGAATACACTTTTTGCAAACTGTTTCTATTTGTTCAATGGTAGATGTATACATCCCCTGCCTAAAGTTTGGGTTTGGAATAAACATTACATAAAAATAACATGTGGTTTGGCATGAAAAAATGTTGCCAACTTTTTTAATTTTATTATGTCCTTAACCATAGGATTTTTTTGTTATAATTTACCAAGAAAGGTAATAGGGAATGAACACATTTACAGAAATTCAACCTTGTTCAAGAAACTATTGGGTTCAGTATTAAGTGTATGTATCTCTTTTTTCAAATCCCTCATTTATCCAAAAAAAAATAAATCAATTTACAGGAAAGTAAAGATATTCACAGAAATTCAACCATGCATTGTGTTTAATAAACTGTTGGACTATTTTTTCTTTTTGGTGGTGCAAGGGCTTGCAGCTTTTGGGGGGGTGGGGAGGGAGCCAAACGGCTCAGCGGTAACATATTATTTGGGTCTGGATATATGTTTCTTTCCTATTACGAAATAAAGTTGACATTGTAAAATGAGGGAGAAATTTGAGTTGATAACTCTTGGATTTGTATATCTTGCTTTGCAAGAAGAATAAATGATCAAATTATTTGATGCTTAATTGTGTTATTATGGTGATTGGATGATGTCAAAGATGGTGCGTTTATTTAGCGAGAGTGTGAAGTTAATAAAGGTCGTAATTGTTTAAGCATCAGGCTTACTTGTTTTATATGGTTAGTGTTTGGATTTAATCATTTCAAGTGTTGATTGTTTTTGTGTCACTTTATGTTCCTTTAGTTTAATTTGTGCTGGAACAAGTGTATAAGCCCTAGACAAGAAGCTATCGTGTGGCCTACTCAGGCATTTTCCTCGGGAGATCCACTCGCAAATATTATGTGTCATAAATGGGAGTAGGAAGCATGAAGAGTGGGCATTTCTTTTTCATACATAAAATAACAAGTATGAAATATGGATGCATGAGACTGTGTTTAATCTTGCAGAAGTCACGGTTAAAGGATTGAGGCCTGTAATTTTATCTCTAGGTCCCATTTCAAAGTTCTTTGAGGATTCTAATAACAGCTTGGGTTTCAGCCAATGAAATATGATTTATACAAGATTGACTAACATTGCATTGCAGGGTGAGAAGCGCAAGGAAGGAGAAACAGCAACATATAGCAAGGCAAGAGCTAGAATGTTACAATTGCTTCTAACTGCTTGATAAGTAGTGTATTTATTAAGTTAAAAGCTTTGTTGTATTAGTGCTTGCTGCCAAATATCAGCCTCATAGGATCTGTGTGATCTCCTTTTACAAGAAAGCTTCATCAATACCATTTTTCATATGAACATATTAAGAAGATACCTTAATACATGATTAATTTATTCAACATCTTATGATTAAGGAACATGTAAGCTTTGACAAGCTCCTCCTTGACCATGAAAAGTACAGAAGCTGCAAAAACACTCTGTACTATCTTAGTGCTCATCCCCTGGTAAAAGCCACGCAATCCCTCGTACCTCATCATTTTGATTATCGCATCAACTGTACCTGCCCAGTTACCATTTTTGCCAAACCATTACCAATTACCATGGAGATGGCGGACACCTAAAGTAACTACTAAACCCCTTTGAACAAGACCAAAACAGTTTGTCATATGACAGGTGAAAGCAAAGGTTACACTAAATGTGGATGGCAATTGATATTTACCTTACCAAACAAGACAAAGAAGTAGCCAGAGCTACTCTAGGACTCCAATGTCAGTTGAGAATTTTAAAGCCTTAAGCCTATAAACAGAATTTAGACGACACATGTACACAGCGGCAAGCCAGGCTACTGAAACCTGGATTCGCAGCCTCTTTCCATACCTACGTAAATAGTTTCTCATAATAGCTACTAAAGCTTAAAAGAGCAAGGGGCAGTGTGCGTGACTAGTTAGAAAAGCTATATATATGTATTTGGGACCATCACCAAAACCTTTTCTGAAGCCACTTAACTTTGATATCACCCACTTATAATAATGGATGAGGATCCTCCAGTCAAATGCTTCCTGATGATCAAATTCATTGCTGAAACTAGAATAATAAAGGTAACTTCTAAGTAAGACTTTTGACAACATACTCTAAATCAAAAGGTTTCAGAACAAGTAAATATGACAGAAGCTGAATACTTGGTAAAGGTGCAAAGAAAGAAAACTAAAGCCATTTTGAAAATGGGAAATCAGAATATGCATAAAATCAATTGCTGTCAACATGGAATTAGCTACAAATAGGATTACAGCCAGATAGATCATATGAGGGAGCATGTTTGAATGTTGTAATATTGCTACACAACCAGATATGCTTTATTAAGCATAACTTTGGCAATACCAGATCCACCAAAAAAAGATTAGGATCCTATATACATATATATGATCAGTGACAAGTCATAAATGAACACAACAGGATGACTGAAGAGTGAGTGCATAAAATGTGTAAGGAAGCTGTGAATTTAGAATGAAACTAAACTAGAGCAAGATCCAAGAAAGGGATGTAGAAGATCCATAATACATGCATAATTCAATATACAACGCCTGTAACTTATAACTTGCAGCTTCCTAAGAATACATTATTGGCATGAGGTGGCTAACCATCGGCAAAGATAATGGCTCATGCAAACTACAAAATCTGACACTCAAGAAAAAATAGAAAAGGTGTACCCCAGTTATTATAAAGTCACCCCAGCCAAAGCTATGTTATTGCAGATAAATTGTCGAAGAAGGTTTATTCATTTATAACATGAAGGAAAGAAACGCAGTGACAGCAAAGATGATAAATTGGCCAAGATGTTTGAAAATCGTGATAGGGCTGAATTCATCTGATAACAAACCTGAATATCTCAGTGATATATTTCCACCAATCTCCTGCTTAGCTTGAAGCCTTGACTGTACAAGTATTTAAGAGAATAAAAACAGTAAGTGGCTTCAAAAATGTTGCTGCAAGACAAGGACATAAAAAGGAATCATCACATTTGCATTGACGAATTGCACAACTATTTCTGAATTCCCGAGGATGAATTTCTGCCAAACTTTACCTTGACAACCAGCAGAGGGTATGTTGTTACAGTTGCCCCAAGTTTTGCCAAGGCTCCTAGTGCAAACACCTGCTAATACAAGACAGCAAGGCAGAAAAAGTTAGGCAAGGCCACCATTGGCTATTTCTATTTTTCGATGGATTGGACTAGTTACATAGTGGGGAGGAGAAGAGGTTGAAAAGTCATTGATGGTATCAAATTGAACATTTGAGTATAGTTTGGGTACCAAATATGTGATTAACCCATTGTAATTCTATCTTTTGTTTCAACAAAAAAAAAAGTTATCTTCATTTTAGATGATATATTACAAACAAGTTTTTGAGTGTTTTGATGCCAATGGGGCAAAACCAAATTGACATAAAAATGCAACTCCAATATTATCATGCAGCATGCATCCCAACACTATTAGTTTGTCTCAAAGATATCTTGTACCTCCAAAGCTGTTACATTTTTTAATCCATGCTTATTATTAGCAGCACGTTTTTCCTTCAGACGCTTTAATGAGCTCTCATATATCGTGAACTGGATTGAGGGATTACACACCTGGCATTACATAAAATCTTCCATCAATCAGAAGCAACTAAATAATTTATCCATCGTTTAAAGATATCACTGTAGAGGCTAACCATAATGAGTGTTGGGATGATTCCTTTCCAGAATCCACGTATTCCTGCTTCTGCATAAACTTCACGAGCCTAGATAATTATGAAACATATACACTTGTGATTTGCAATGAACGAATATGATGCTTGTCATTTGCATCATAATAGGATAAAAATTATGCATAATTTTGAAAATCACAAACTCCAAGAATAAATAAAATATCTATTTAAAGTTAATAAAGAAAAAAAACCAGAGAAAATGATCACACCAATTATATATGTCCATGTCAGAAAGAGTGTAACAGCAACCTTTCCCCAACCCTGAACCCCAAGGAGTGCTTAAAAAAATTGGAAAGAGAGCTGCACAGATACCAACCGCGTGAATGGTTCCATAAGGATGAGGCTTTGTTGAATCAAGCTCAGCCAATTTATCTTGCAGTCTTGAACCTATTAAGCTGCTTTCAGAAGCCTCCCTCAATAGAGCTTCCCTTTTTGACTCCGCAATTTTTCTTTCTGCTTGAATATGAGTCTGAAGTAAAAACAGAGAATGCCATGTTGTTGATCTTCAGGGGATCACAATCACTATATACAGACCAAACTATCTCACTTTGTGAGCATTCAATGGTTACGAATTTTCGCAAAGCCTACTTGTAGGAGTTGGGTGGAACTGCCATTACAAATAAAATTATACTCCAGTATAGTAGTACAGAGAGAGCATCATTCATAGATATTAATACTGTGGTGTATTATACATAAATTAGAAATTCTAGTGGGTATGCAACATTGTGTTAACACAAACTTATTTGGTATATACACTAAACCTTCAAAAACCAGCACTAGTTGTACCACAGACTACAGCAATAGAGGGATACAAAAGGAAAGCAACAACAGACCTGCATACGGGTCACAAGAACCCATATTGGGTTTGTTAGCAATACGTTCAAGGACCTGCAGGATGAGATTATTTTTGTCAATTATTGAGGAAAGTGGAAAGCCTCTTCATTCATTAGAAGGCAGCATTACTTGTCCTTTCTTTCCCTGGTCTAACTATTACACTTTTCTGCAGCACAGGAATTGAATTTGATATTTTAGAACCAAAACGCATTTCCAAGAAAATAAAAAGAAAACCTATAGCTAGGGGATGTGTATTACATTATTAATCCCCACCCTGATGTGTCAGCGCATGGAAAGTTAGTCGTATCTTAAATTGGAATGGCATAGAAAGGGATGAGTTACCCTGCAAGAGCGGCTACAAGGAGCCAAGAAAACATGCCAACAGTGCCATCCCCGCGGCCATTTTGCTTACGGGCCCTTGCAATAACCTCAGCCTTATTTTTGAATAGCTGATAAAAGTAGTAGTAAATGCCCTGAGACCATGACATGAACATTAATACTGTTAGAGTATAAAGTGAGCAGGAAGAGCCTGAGTAAAAAAATAATGCTATAAAATAGAAAACAAAGGCAGTAGCAAGTGAAATACGTACCTGTGAAGCAGCAGTGCCAAATAAAGAAGGCTTAAGCCCCGAGTAAAGTCCTCCCCAGCCTTCAGTTCGTAGGACCTACATGAAGAATCCAACCTCAATTAGGGCCCGAGCCAGACAGAAGCTGCTGGAAAATCACTTGGAAGCATAAGCAATTTGAAAGATGACAAGTGACGTATATACATGGAGGATCTGAAGAAGCGTGCCAGTGCCAGAAGCGGCAGCGGGGGGTTTGGACCTGGCGATTCTCTCCGTTTGTTGACGCGTGTTCACCTTTGTTATATTGGCTCAGGATCATGAAACTTTTCGAAGCCATTTGCTTCTCTTTTGATTTAATTTAATTCGAAAAAGAAGAAAACATTAAGACAGAGTACCGTCTGAAGGGGATAAGTGATGATCTGAGCAACGATTCCAGCGCCTGCTCCTGCCACTCCATTCGCTATTGCGTTGGACATTCTTTCTTCCTCCTCTCCTCTCCTCGTTATCCTCTACCTACTGTCTCAGTTCCGACACTTCATTTTCATATTAATCCACTTGCGCTGTCCTGCATTCATTGCTTTCTACTCATTGACGGTTAACGGTTACAGTTTCTTACAGCCCTAAACTTGTTTTTCCTTCTTTTAACCCGACGTTAAAATAGAGTAGAATAGGGGCAATTACAAATAAGTGAAATGGACTCAAGATATTGACTAAAGGATGTAATGAAGCTAAAAAATGAGACCCGAGTGTTTTTTGGTTATGAAATCAATTACCTCTTTCTTCCCTTCGCCATAATGTATAAAATTCCAAAATTAATATGTACATGTATTAATATAGTAATTTGTATATTATTAAAACAATATGTACTTTAATATATACATTATAATACATAATAATGGAGAGTCATTCACCCTTAATTTTTTTATATTTTAAGATATAGTATTGTTATTTTTAAACAATAAAATAAGATTTCAATTAAAGGAAATTGTGGGAAATGATCAATCTTATAACCTATTTCAGAAATAGCCTTCAATACAAAGTTAATTGTTTTTACTTAATTTTAGCTATAAGATAACAAAAATGTCATTGAAACCATTTCAGACAAATTAAGCTCTCACTTTCTCCCTCTTTCCATCCAAGCAAATTAAATGCTCTCTTAGCTTGCTCTTGCCATCTAGGTCTCTCAACTCATTCAACTCACTCAGCTCTCTTTAATTTTACCACCATCGTCATTGCTCTTTGATTTATCTCTCGCAATCTTAATGTATCATCATCGATCTACAAACTAAAAAGCAGAGATGATATCAATATATGTTATGAGCTTAATTGGTTTATATTTACAAAACTCCAAAATTGATGGAAAACCCACTCAATTTATTTCTTAAAGGTTGTTTGTAAATTAAAATACTAGTCAGATTTGTTACTTTTTCATGGATACCTGTAATAGATGTAATGCAATTGGGGTGTAAAAAATCTATTGAAAATGGCATGGTATGTAACAAAATTTTTGAACATGATGTGTGAAAATTTTTTTATGACAATGACATGTAGCAAATTGTTTTTGAACATGACATGTAGAAATTTTATGAAAATGATGTGTAGAAATTTTTTATGAAAATGACGTGTAGATTTTTTTTTTACTCAAAATTATGTGTAACAAATTGTTTTTAAATATGGCATGTAACAAAATTTGGATGAATATGGCATGTAATATTTTTTCAACATGCTGTGTAATAAGTTTTTTTTGACATGGCATTTAACAACATTTTTCAATTATGCATGTAGCAAAAGTTCAAAATTTGGTGGGTAGCAACTTGTTGATAAATTGATTTGATTTTCCAAATTATAAAGATTATAAAGAGAGATGTAAACCCATTACGTGTAACATAAATTATGTGTGAGCATTTGCTTTCATCATACGATACTTGGTAATGAGTGGGTTTGAAAATAGCCCTTTTATTATGTAGGGAAAAAGCAAGTCTACTCATTACTATGTCCTGTGTGATGATGAAAAAACTAGTATCAGATAGAAGAAGCATATGATAATATTAAAAGGCAAGCCTAATTTACTCAGATTCCTACTTAAGATAAAAATCAAATTTTGTAAGGTGAGAAATGATAGCATAAACAACAAACTGGCAAAAATTTTTTTGAATATAGTGTGTAAGAACAAAAAGTTTTCAACATGGCCTGTAGGAAAATTTTAGATCATGGCATATAACAACTTTTTTGATAAATTGACTTTGACACTTATTTATTTTTAAATTTCAACAACGTGCCAAATGTGTGACTTGTGATAAGACACGGTGATCATTGGGTGAATGGCCTTTACAAGGGGGTTAGTCATGAATACCAGAGATTAAGAGTGATTTGTCATTTACAGGCATATGAAGCTCGTTGAATATGTTGTTAGGGTAAACTCATAGAATCACGAAATTGAGCTACATGCATTGATCAGTATCTTGGAAAGTTATCATGTCCAATTATCAAGGACAATGAGGATGTTGCATTAATTTTACTAAAGCAGATGAATGGTCCATCAGTTTACATCACCACTAAAGAACGATATACAAATGTTATGCCACGGGATCAAGCTATCCAATATGGTAATCACCTTAATTAGATTTAGATTTACACTATTTCACATACACCACATCATTCAGTCCCTAACCCACAATAATGGCAATCGACATTTGCACGAGTTTGTACAGTCCAATACACAGACGTCATTCTCACAATAGTTGGCTACACAATTTTGATCACATGTGCATCAAACTAATTACTTGTTGTTGTCTAACTAGTGCAGCCATTAGGTGATACTATAAAGGGTCTAATGCCATATTCAAACTACACTACAACGTTCGAGGACGAGGCCACATCTGATCAAGGTGAAGATGATTAGTTTCTGACCGATGAATATAGCTTTAATGATGATTCTGATGGTGGGCATGATGACGATTTAGAGGACGATTGGGTTTATTATAGTGACATTCTGAATTGCAATAATGTTGAAAGCAATACAAAACATGCCAAAGGTGTAAATTTAGGAGATGTTTAATGCAATGACCCCATAGACAATAACCCTATCAATAGTAAAAATGAGATTCGTTCACTTTAGAACATTGCTTGATAACATGATCAAGCAACCAAATTCAAGACCAATATCAACCAAGAGCATCAATTTTGAAGAAGTAATGGTCCCTCTTCATTGAAGCTTTTGAAAAAGAACTTTTTGGATGCTCAGATCATGGCGGTTATCGCACTTTGTCTTTTAGCTAATGAGCAGAAGAGGACAATGATTATTATGAAGGAAATGATGTCTTTAATTGTGAATCATTTATCAAGAACATCGCCAATGAGGGATCAAATTCAAGTGGCAAATTTGGTTGCTAATGTCACAAAGCTCAAGTTAGAAGTGAAGGAATATGATTTAATTAGAAAGAATATTTTATGACGACTAGTAACATTGTTGTCATTTGAGTTATCTGGCCTATGTTGTTGTCACCTTATGTCCAACCAATATTCCTATCTAGCCTCCTTCAGTGTGGACTCAAAGATTTCGTGTGCCCATAACTACAAAACTTCTGCATTGTTATTATTTTGAAAGATAGTTTACATTTAAAAAGAAAAAAATAATACCATTTTGCTAACCTGCTGAGAGGACTCCAAGTTTTGAATCACCTAGTAGAATGCCTTGGGCTTCTAATTGCACTGCCATCTACACATTCGTGGGTAAAAGTCATCTTTGCGGAAACCAGGAGCAATTAAATTCAAGGTTGATATGGTTTGGCTCATGTGGACCATATTTGGTGACTTGTTGTCATTATAAGTGTGTTGCTTTATTGGGACTTCATACTTTTTTCCTGTTTGTCCTTTTGTTTGGATAGTTTTTAAATTGTGGCATCTACTGATGAATTGATGTGAAATTCTTGTGGTGTTTGTTGATGGACAACTTAGAAACTTGTAGTCTTTGTCAATGAACAACTTTGTTTGCTTTTCTTTTATGGCATGTTTGGTCGAGCATGGAAGTTGGCTCCAAGAGAAAAAGAGATCATGTCCAAGATACTAGTAGTTAGGCTTCCCATTGTTAAAAATATACTCTCTTTCTCTCTCTCTTTTTTTTTTTAATTTTTACATTGATATTACATATTACTTTATGTGTGTTATATCCATTTTGATCTTTTGGCAGAGCAAAGTGCAAGTTCCTTTATGTCTTTTTAAAAAAAATTATAAACATTATAATCACTTAATTGATACATGACATGTCAGACTAAAATGTTACATGAAAAGGAAAATGATAAATGTTAAGGTGACATTACCTGTATCGCTCACGTAAACGTTGGTCTCAAATAAATGTGCTAAAGGAGGGGTGAATAGCACTTTTTGGCTTTCACTTATATTGACTTCTAATTGGAGATAAGTTAAAGATCAATGATGAGAAGTTAAATGCAAGATGAAGGAACGATTTAACAAAGAATGAAATGAAAGATAAAACAGGGCAGACAATATATAAAGATTTATAGTGGTTTAGTCAAAGACCTACATCCTTTACCTTGATCTTCCAACCAAGGATTTTTCAAATCAAATCACTATAAACGTTGAAATTCCTAAGCTTCCACCAAGTTTTTACAATAGCTTTTCACAGGCTCAGCCATAACCTTTAATAATGATTTTTTCCAAGATCAATCAAGACCCAAAACTAACTTTTTTTAGGCTAAGTTAGAACTTATGCACTCAATCAAGCTAACCTAAGCTTGATCAATCCCCTTAGAGTGACTCACACACTCTAAGTAATCAAGGAAAATAGAATTAAAAAAGTACCTATTATCACTAACCTAATCTGAATGGTACAAAATGAAGTGCTTAACTTTATTACAAGGATTGAAGTGAAGTGCAAGAAGTATGGAGAAAGTTTTTGCTATTTTTTAGCTCTTTTTGATCTTAGAAGCATCTCTTATGTTTCTTAGCCTTTGGGAGTGCCTTATATATTTGAAAAACCAACTCTGATGTATGTTTGATAGTTATTGACCATTGGAAATAGTTGAGAAATAGTTCTAGTCATTGGTCTGTCTTCTAGCATTCAAATTCAAATTTTCATACAGTGTGCTCTTAATTGACTAACATACTTCTTAGTGGACTAAGTATTTTCTATCTTCTACTCTTAGTTTCTGGCAGTGAGCACTTAATCAACTAACCATACGTCTTGGTTGACTAAGTCTTTTTTGTTTTCTTATTGAAGTTTCTAGTAGTGACCACTTAGTCGACTAAGTCTTTTCTGTTTTTGGACCGGCCAACTTTATTTTTGAATTTTAGTTAACTAACTCCCTTAGTTATCCGACTAAAAGACTTTTGCTTTGTGGCTCAATTATAGCTCTTTATTTTTATGAGTTTTGATATTTGCTTTTGAGTGATTAATTTATTAATGACATACATTTTTGTCTTGCACACTTAAGTAGTAAAGTTAGATATAAATGAGTGAGAATGTTTTATTCTCATCAAAAACTAATGGAGCCAACAATCTCTCCCTTTTTGATGATGACAAAACATTTTTTGATTAAAAGCACAATGTCTATTAGTTTTTTTTGTTCAAAACAAAATTAGTAATTTCTCTGCCAGAGTGTGTGCTCCCCTTAATATACGCATGATCTTTTCAAGTTATTTTATTATCCAAATCAATAAGCTTTTCTCTATCTCTTAAAAAAGGCAAGCATAGATTCAAACATTTTAATAAAGTGCCTTCATACAAGCTTACAGAACAATCAATAATGAATGACAGAATATTATCAGTATTGCAAATAACTGTTATTAACATTATTGTCAACAAATCACATCCATTCTAAAATCAACAGTCATTAACAATCCATTAAACACCAAAGCATGACAGAAATAAGTTCTTAGCATTCAGATATCACTAACAATCCATCAACAATTAAAATAATATATTTTCATAAACAATCTAGCATCATCAAAGTCAGATTCTTAAATTACCCTTAAATGACTTTTACCTTCTCTCCTAAAATTACTTCTACCATAACCTATCTCCCTTTTTTTGTCATTAGCAAAACAAGGATAGATCTAAAAAGAGTTTGAAGGGGTTGATTTATCTGTTCCAAAATGGACATTAAAGGGTTCATGAGATGGCACAAGTGAGGATTTTTATGATAGGGAATTAGAAGAAGATGTGTTTGAAACTTGAAGTGGATCCTAAACAGAAGACTTGACTGAAGATTTGGCTTTTTCAGCTAATCTTGAGGATATTCTCCTCTTGAGAAACTTAGTTTTTGTTGCCATAGTCTTTCTGCCTTTGCCACTAGATTTAGTTTTATCTTATGCAAATACAATTGCTTTCTTTTTTTTCTTTCCCAGTTTGTTCACCTTTTCTTATAGTATGGGTAGATTTAAGGGATGCTATTGCAGATGCTGGTTTTTGTGCTTTACTTTTTACTGTTTCTTTTTTAGCTTGCTCTTCCCTTACCATCTAGTGAAAGACATCCATGATTAGAACTTCCTAAAAGTTTTTCGAAGATGGTTTGTCTACTTGCAGTTCACCATACTATGGAGAGTTGTCATTAACACTATCTTTTTCCTTAATTTCAGGTTCAGGGGTGGGCAGTTTCCTTACTGGACCAAATTCTGGTTCATCACCTTTAACTTGAAATGCAGGATTTTCAGTAGTTTGTCCTACCGGTGCTGAACTTGGTGCCGCTATGTACCTTCAGTTGTAGGACCAGAAGATGTTTTTCCTTTTTCTTTCATAAAATTTCTCATTTCTTGCAAATTTTCTTTAATTTTCTAGATTCTTACAAACTGATCAGTAAGCTTCCCATTAATTCTCATCAATAAATCCAAAATCATTTTATTTGAAACCTAAGAGAAAGTTGTCTTAGTTTGAGCAAAGGCAGGATGCTCTTCTCTTAAAGTAACTTTGGGGGTTTTGATAAATTTTTCTTCTTCCAGCTTGTACCCTATTTTTGGCAAACTTTCTAGATACATAGCCCGATCCCTACTCTTAACTTGATCCATTTCATATCTAGAACTAGATCCCCTTTTTCTTTACCAAAGAAGTGATTACATTTCCATAAGGTAGATTCACCTTGTCAATTCAACATGTTCCTTTCATTCTCTCTATCATGAATCTTTTTAAATTGAGGGGAGTAGCATTAAAAGCATGCTCCATCAACCATATATCTTGAAGACTCACATAGTTGAAGTTGCCACCTTTACCATAAATTGTTGAAGCTATAAAGTAATGCAAGATCCTACTTTGTGAACTTTTAATAAAACTTACATAACGTTTAGAGGAGTATCTTTTCTTTTTTCCTGTGATTATTTTCCACAGAGATAAGAGATCATAATCCTCAGGGATTTCATACTCTCCCTTATTACACTCAATTTTGAGTAGATTTCCCAAATCAGTGGTAGTGATCACAAACCCTTTTCCATTTAGAAACACATTTAGACCATTTTCAACAAAATCCTCAGGGTCATCAAGTTCATTTTCATCCAGTGTAATACTAGTATAGAATTCTTTTACAAGGTTGGCACTATAGGTTCTGTTCTTAAAAACACTCAATTTCTTCAATTTTATTTCTTCAAAGTAATTCAATAGACCCTTTTTAATTTTTAGAACTTCATTAAAACTATCCTAGTCAATATATTTCTCACAAGAGATGAGAGCATTCTTTATTTTACTAAATCTATCCTCATGAGTTTTATTTATGAATTTCGAGGATGGAGGATTACCTTTTTTGGTGATTTTCCCTTTTTCCTTCTTTTTCTCTGATTTCTGTTTTTTCTCTTTCTGTTTCTTCCCAATTTTCTCAATCATTGAAATTGACTCATCCTTCTTCATTTTCTTTTGAATTTCGAATGGTGGACTGTCTTCTATGGGTCTTTTTCCTTTCTTCTTTTCCAAAATATCTCTAGGTAAGGAAGATTTGGCCATCGGTTTTGGAAAGTTTAGACTTAAGGTGTAGAAAATTGGAGAAGAAGGGTTTTGATTTTTGAGAGGAATGGTTTCATATGGGAGAGAGAGTGTAAAGAGAATATGAGGAGTTAAGAGAGGTTATTCTTCAAAAAAAAAGTCAGACTCCCCTTTAAATGTGGTCAGTTACTTCTTTTTTCAAAATTTAAAAATCTACCTCCCATTTTGTTTTCTAGTTAAGCGGATTTTCTTTTTCTTCTTCACCTGTTATGCTTCCCTTTTTTTCTTAAATTTTGTTATTTTTAGTTTGGTTTCTTAACTTGACTGAGTTTTATCCGTATCTGACTAAGTTTATCATTAAAAGAAATAGAATGCTTTTAGTTGGTTAAGTGATTCTCTTAATCAATTAAATGTCTACTATCTTATGAGATAAAGGGTCAAAAATTTACCTAAAGCTCTTGTACACTAACCATTCCTAGATTTCTCCTAATTTCATAAAATCTTTTCTTATTTAAGGGTTTAGTAAATATATCAGCCAATTGATGCAAGGTGTTAACAAACTCTATCAAAATGTCTCATTTAATCACATGGTCTCTAATAAAGTGATGTCGAATTTCAATATGTTTGGTCCTAGAGTGCTGAACCAAATTCTTTGAGATGTTTATGGCACTTGTGTTATCACAAAATATTGGTACATTATGTATGGTTACTCCAAAGCCTTTTAATTGTTATTTAATTCATAAAACCTAAGCACAGCAACTACCTAAGGAAACGTATTTAGCTTCAACAGTTGAAAATGTAATAGAGTTTTATTTCTTACTTGACCAAGATACAAGCATGTTTCCTAGAAATTGGCTTGTGCCACTAGTGCTCTTTTTATCCATTTTACTTCCAATAAAATCTACATCTGAATATTCAATGAGACTAAAAGATGTTCCTCTAAGATATCATAATCTTAAATTTTGTGTATCCAAGAAATACCTAAATATTCTTGTTACAGCTGTTAAGTGTGACTTTTTAGGTTGTGATTTCTTCGAAGGACTTGTAGAGATGAGTTCTTCTAAGGATATCCTTAGGTGAGGGAAACGTTGAGACCTCACCAAAGCATTGGGATAGTCTACGAATGATTTTTCGGTACAAAGTTGTTGTTCTCACTATTTAAAATTGATAAATCATGGCATCATTTTGTAACTATATCATGTACATCCGTAAGATCGAATAAAAAGATTTAATCTACTAATATAATAAAGGATTAACTATTAAACAAAGATTAAGGAAACAACAATGGTTTAGGTTTCAATAGGATAACATAAGATTGAAATGGTACCGTTTGTGGAACGGGCGAAATAAGGGTGCGAATCCTTCCCTGTGCGTAACGGCACTCTTGAACTTGACTCTAAAGATAATTGTAGACCAATTTCTTATTCTTTTGATGAACTAAAAATTAATTTAGGACTTCGTCGACTAGAATCGAGTTAATAGGTGGCCTATCACACCTAAATGAAAAAAAGATTAGTGGTGACTCCTAACATATTTATTTTTTCCACATCTAGCCATCGGGTTCCCAGACCCATACGTTACGATAGCCATTTATTACAAACTTCTTTGTTGTGACCGATTACTTCACTCTAAACTTGTTCGAGCATTTTCCTATCTTTAAGAATGAATCAAACAATCATTTATAAACCTGTCGTGTAATACACCTAGCATTTAGAATTTACGTCAATGTCAGAAAAATCAGAAAAATGCTTTCTTGCAACATGAAGATGTTTTTAACAAAATGTCGTGTAGCAAATTCTAGACAGATTTATTTTCACAAACTTGCATGTGAATGAGAGTGCGCGAAAATGAGAAAGCTTCATTAAGGGCATTTTTCCCCAAATCTTATCTCTTAGTTAAAAATAGTTAAAATCATTAAGGGTATTTTCCCCCCAAATCTTATCTCTTAGTTAAAAATAGTTAAAATTATGAGGAGAGTTATTTTCAAAAACACCTTATATTTGAGAAATAAAAAAAAATTGTTCTTCCAATTATCATTTAGTTAGGAATAAATTGTGCAAACAAATCATTGGTATTAATATCCTATTAAAATAATTATACATTTTGTGAAAATTAAAATTCATATCTCTACATTTAGGTTTGGTAACATTCATGTATATTATTAAAATGTTAGAGCTTGCGCATTTAATTTACTATAAGATTGTAAGATGTGTACTTCTTATTTTTTAAATATAAAAATATTCCTCTTATTATGTGAGTTAGAATAAATTATATAAAATAGATCATTGAATCGTATCACAATTTAATAAATATGGTTGTTGATAATCATTTTCAAGAAGGAGACACTTGATGCTTTATAGAAGCCAAAAGCTTACATTCATTCATGGCCATTTAATTCATGCCATTCCACTTCAGAAACAAGGCGGTTTGCTTTGCTATTTTCCCATTTTTTTAGTCCTTTTTAATTATGGACGAACATATAAATGAAATCCACAAGAGGAAACCTCAATACTTCCATTGAATCATTGGTGAACATAAGAGGATAAAACAATACAGTGAACCATGAACATGGGCACAGAAAATTGAAACAACTGACAAAATCTTAACTTATAAATATAGCAAATGTTACATCAATCTTCCTCAATCTTAATTCATAAGTAGATGGGAAGAAGCTGGGCATGAAATTGGGTCTAATCAGGATATATTTGCATTCTTCAGAGATTTGCAGACCACTGCTCCTGCAGATGTCTGCATCAAGTGCTCCCCAAGCATTGCAGTACATGAAGCATCTGTCTTAAGATGAGGCTGCACCAATTCCCAAATCTTTTTCTTTTGAACCTGCAGAAATTTGAAACAGTAAATGATTAGATAACTTTGTACGGATGCTACATACTGGAGCAGAATGAATGTTATATAACCAATGAATAACCCAATACTATTATTGAAAGCTTCAAATCTTTTAGCTTTCTCAAACAGTACTGTCTGATAGGTTTTGCAATATGGAGCACAAGAAAGCCTACAACTTTCCCCGGAGCTATTATCTACCAAGCAGAACAAATCTATATATCTACCAAGCAAACTAGACAGCAACTCAGCTTTTCAACATCTATGTATGTAATGCACCCTATGTCAAAGTTTTAATGAGGATACAAGTGAACAAAGACAGGAAAGGGAAAAAAAATAGCGGCCGGTGATACCTGGTTGGGTGTGGCAGGATCAGGTAGGTTATCTTTATCGTGTTCAGTGCCAAACCATATTCTCTCGCCAGGAACTGAAGCTTCGGGGGGCACAAGAAGCTCAACATTCTGATGGGACGCATCAGAAGCAGCCATGAGCATTCCACAAGACTTGACACCCCGCATATTCCTTGGCTTTAGATTAGCAAAAACAACTACTTTTGCGTCCTCGAGGAGGTGGAGAGGGATGTTGTTAACAAGGCCGCTGCAGATGATTCTGGGCTCAGGCTCGCCTACATCCACCTCTTCCACGTAAAGAGAATCGGCCTCCTCATGCCTCCAGGCTTTGATGATTCGGCCAACCCTTAAGTCGAGCAGGTGGGCTGCATCCTTGATGTCGTCCGTGGGGTAATCACCATTGGACTCCGAAGGAGCTGTGGCCGCCGCGTTAGCGTTGGGAGCCACACAAAATGAGGGACAACCTCTGAGAATGATAAGACTATAAGGCAAAAGGAGAGCTTTCAGGGTGCTAGTTGTACCAGTGGTAGCAGCGAAAGCTCCTGTTGTTGGATATGAGGAGGTGGGTGGCTTAGTCTTCAAACTGCGGAGAAGGGGAAGCGAGCAGCTAGATAAAGATAAGCCTCTCAGACCAATCGTCGTCGCCATTCCCATTTATGGTAAATCGCCCTGAAACCTTAGGAAATAATCCTTAATTGATATGATCAATCTCCAACACCAAGATCAGAGGGGGATTGAGGAAGGAATCAAAGTGGCAACAGCTGAGTAGGAGCAATGTGGCTGCTGGCTATGTATGTATATAGGCTACAGGTAATGACCAAATAAATTGTGGAGAATAAAAATGAATTTAGGGATAATAAATAAACATTAATGTATTGGCAAAATGAGATAAATTAATTTTTATGAAAAAAAAATCATTTTTTGCTATTTACATGGAAGAAATTTTAATTACTTGATTAGTATAAATATTTTTTAAAATTTAATTTTATATGTATTTTTCCCTTGCTCGGGTTAAAAAATAGTGGTAGTATACACCATTAACTACTAATTCATTTTAGTTAATTTAAATAAATAATCTTGGGGCCTGTTCTCTGATCTCTTCTCGACATCATCGTATCGCGGAAGCTCCTTCGCCGGGTACTCCCGCTTTGCTCTCCGGTTCCTCCATCAGAGTCTTTTAAGCCGGTGCCGGTGAGTTGATTTCTTCTTCTTGCTTTTTCTTTCCCTTTAAACTGTTGTTTCTCCTCATCTTTTCTGTCTTCCTTCGTACTCTATTTTCTCGATCATTCTCGCTACACTCTAAATAATGGTCCTTCTTTCTCCAATTTTTCAAAATCCCCACCAAATTTTGATCAATAGTTTCGCACACAACCGTGGTGACCTGATTTTAATTGCTTGATTGGCGTAGATCGAGTTCGAACTGGGGCTATGCCTATTTGTATGAATTTCTGTGGCTTAATTTCGTTGATGTTTGCCATTTTGAAACTTAGACATATGCATGGTCTTGTACCTCTTCTGCAAGTCCTTCGATGAATATGAAATTCGCTAACTTGCCTTGTAATATCCTGATTTTCCATTTTGCTTTGCCTTCCTTGAAATCGACTCAACTATGGTACACCAATTTACATAATGCGCCTGCCCCTCTACCATTAATAACTGCTTGATTTAATGATATTCCTTCTTGCAAGTTTATTCACCTTTATACAAATAGTTCCATTCTGTTGAACTTCTATTTTTTCCCCCAAGTTTATTTGTATGATTTTGACGGACGTTAATTTAACTAGCTTTTCTGCTGGCTAGTTAATTTATGCCATGATAAATCGTTATCATAAAAGTAAGAGGATTTTCACCCAATGTTCAGTCATTTATGTGCGTTGTTTCATGAATCACCTACATTCCTGTCTCATGATATCAAATTTCTTTTCCTCTTCACATCATAGCAGTTCCCTTTCTTTGCAGTGTAGGGTGGGCTGAATTACTTGCATAAAGATAAAAGAAGCATGGCAGAATTCATGGAGCTGGAAGGGCAGGACGGGTTCGGATGGCGTGGAATGTGGTGCCAGGGACAAAGCAAGAGGCAAGCAACTGTGTGGTGCCCGTGTCAGCCATCTAACCCCGATCAAACCATTTCCCAACATGCCGGTCCTACCCTATGCTCCTCTCCGCTGCCGCAACTGCCGCGCTGTACTCAACCCTTCTCCATCGTGGATTTCGCTGCCAAGATTTGGATCTGCCCTTCTGCTTCCAGCGTAATCACTTCCCTCCCCACTATGCCTCCATCTCAGATGAAAACCTCCCTGCTGAGCTCTTCCTCAGTACACAACCATTGAGTACCAATCCCCTGGTGAAGCCTCCTCCCTTCCTCCTGTCTTCATGTTTGTGCTCGACACCTCCATCATCGAAGAGGAAATGTGCATTCCTCAAGTCAGCCTTGTCACAGGCCATCGGCCTCTTGCCGGACAACTCTCTTGTTGGCTTGATCACCTTTGGCACTCTCGTCCATGTGCATGAGCTTGGCTTCGGAGCCATTCCTAAAACCTATGTCTTCAAGGGCTCAAAGGATGTCTCCAAAGACCAGCTTCTTGAGCAGATGTGCTTTTTCCTGAATAAGCCCAAGCCCACCACTGGTGTGATTGCTGGTGCCAGGGATGGCTTGTCTTCTGAGAGCATTGCACGATTCCTTCTGCCTGCTTCTGAGTGCGAGTTTGCCCTCAATTCGGTAGGTTATTAGCAAAATTTCCTCCTAACAATGTCTGATTCAATGTTAAACAACCTGATTTCTCTTTTCTAGGTCTTGGAGGAGCTCCAAAAAGATCCTTGGCCCATTCCTGTTGATCAACGGGCCCCCAGGTGCACCAGCACTGCCTTGAGTGTGGCTGCCAGTTTGTTGGGTGCCTGCGTCCCCGGTTCTGGAGCTCGGATCATGGCTTTTATTGGTGGCCCCTCAACTGAAGGTCCCGGTGCTGTAAGGACTGCTCTGCTCCATTATTTTTCATTCATTATGACAATAATGCATTTGCACTAATTTTGTTTACCTGTTTATCCATCTTCTCCTTCTAGATTGTGTCAAAGAATCTATCTGAACCAATACGTTCTCACAAGGACCTGGATAAAGATTCTGCTCCCCATTATCACAAAGCTGTTAAGTTCTATGAAGCACTTGCTAAGCAGCTTGTGCACCAAGGACATGTGCTCGATCTCTTTGCTTGTGCCCTCGACCAGGTTAGTATTCACTTGCATTTTTTTAATAATAATAATAATAATTGTTTCCTTTATGATCAAACATAAAAGCATTCTAGTGCTGGTTTCTTACTTTCACCCATCAAATTTCCTATGTGTTGGATAAAATTACATTGTTCTCTTGTGCCACATTTTTTTGTCCTAGGTTGGTGTTGCTGAACTTAAAGTTGCTGTCGAAAGAACCGGGGGACTTGTTGTGCTTGCAGAAAGTTTTGGCCATTCAGTATTTAAGGACTCTCTTAGGCGTGTTTTCCAGTCAGAGGAGAAGGATCTTGGAATATCTTCAAAGTAAGGCTTTATTGAACTTAGACTTGTGCCACTATCTCCTTTCTACTGTGGCATTGTATGTAACCTGGGCCAGCTCTAATATTTTGGTCTTCTTGCTCTTACTAGTCCATTGTGTGTAAGCATATAGGGGCCTTGACCCCAATTGTTTTAAGTTGTCCTATTGAGAACAATGGTTAATTCTTTCCAAATTTCCTTTACTCCTGGATGTCTTGTGTTGTGCATGAGCTGTCTGCCTTACTAGTTCTATAACTTTTCTATTTTATGAATTCATGATAACTGGATCCATTGAACAATCTTAATGTCTTGTAGTGGTATATTTGAGATAAACTGTTCAAAGGACATCAAAGTTCAGGGTATTCTTGGGCCCTGCGCATCTCTTGAAAAGGTATAACTCAAAGATTCATGTGCTTCCCTTTTCTACTGGCCATACTTAAGATGTTTAATTGTTAATGACTATGTGCAGAAAGGTCCTTTGTGCTCTGACACCATTGTCGGGCAGGGGAGCACCAGTGCATGGAAAATGTGTGGCCTTGATCAAGCTACATCTTTATGTTTAATATTTGAAATTGTTAAAAAGGACATTCCTGATTCTACTGTTCAGTCCTCAAGCAATCAATTCTATTTCCAATTTCTAACATAGTATGAACTCTTACCTTATACACGTTATAATTTACTTCTATTTTCTTTTATGTTTGGTAGCAGTTCAGACATCTTTGACTTATTACAATTAGTTTTCTACAGTTACCAGCATAGCACCGGCGAAATGAGACTTCGTGTTACAACTCTTTCAAGAAGATGGGTTGCTGGACCTGGAAGCATACAGGTAGCCTTTGATTTTCTATTATAATTAGTTTGTGTTTCTTGGGGGCTGTCCTATTGAATTTTGATTGTCTCCTTCATTGACTCATTGTTTGATGAATTTTGTTTCCCCTAGAAGATTTGCCCCATTGTGTCATGCTTCTTTCCTATGAGTAATAATAAAGGGAAACAGAAAATAGCAATGCCAATAATGTCTAATTTGTCCCTGTAGTACTCCATGCACCCTTCTCAGAAAAGGAAATCATTGTCGACATGGATGGTGATGTTCCCATTCCATGTGACTGGTTGATTTGATATTCATTTAATATGCTCAAAGACGAGTATATAAGGAATTAGTTGAGATTGAGGCAGTTACGAATTCGCTTTGTGTGTGTCTTTACCTTTTTTTCTCTGGTGTTGGAAAGAGGGTTTGCGAAATCTGTTGCCAAGCTTCTAGCAGATTCAACACCAAAATACTAGGAAAATACAAATATGTAGGCTGGTTGAGGGAACACAGATACGGTTATACATTATTGAAGGTGTCATTTAAATTTATTTGGTGTCAGTGTATTGATTGGAGGCTAAAAGTACTGCTTGCATAAAGGGAAAAATTGAAATGTAGGAATTATATACATGGGTTCTGATATTTGCGATAGGATTCTTTGGCTTCACTATTACGAGGGGAAGCATTATAGGTCAAGAATGGCATGGCATCTCAAAACATCAATGCACTACAAATAACTGAAGAAGTTCATCACTCTAAATTGATGACCTATGATGAATTCCTTGATCATGCCACCCTACTCCCCCAACCACCACAACCACTACTTATCTCGTTCAGATAAAAATTAGAAAACAGATTATACTTTGTGAAGATGCCTTTGAAGCATGAATATAATGATTTTGGTCCTTGCATTTTTGATTAACAATTTCTCTTTGATAGTTTCTCTCCATGCCTCCACTTCTTTTTCTTGTTGTTTTTCTCTCTTCCCAGCACATTTTTTCCTTTTTTTTTCTTTTTTCATTTTTTAGCAGATTATGATTTAAATGCCATTTTTCTATTTGATTTTCTAAATTTTGTATCTTGGATACGATTTGCCACATGACCTTAAAACCTTACATCATTTTTCTTTAGTTATAAAATAACAGTGTCTAACACATCATCAACTTAACAGTTGAAACTAACAAAGTTAACAGATTAAAGTAAATATTTTATCTTAGTACAAGGACTGAAATCTGAGTTTAACCAAACTTACATATGAAAATATTAAAGAAAATGGGAGTTTCAGATGCTTCTTTATCTCTTAATGATTATGAATTGATATTTCCCTCGGTGAACGTCACGAGTTTGCTAGTTCCCTTATCCCGCTCTTCTGGTAAACTTGAATGATTTTTGCATCTTTTCCTTCTCATCTATCTCCACTGAGGATAGGGAATTGGTGGAGTTATCACCAAGTGTGATCAGCTTCTCAACTTTACTTCTAGTAACCAGAGTGTATTTTGCAAGATTTCACTTAATTAAGATATTTTTTAATGCTGTAGGACTTGATTGCTGGATTTGACCAAGAAGCAGCTGCTGTAGTAATGGCACGCTTTGTGTCTTTCAAAATGGAAATTGAGGTAATCATTGTACCATATATGATGAAGTTTAAGTTGTTTAGTCCAAATGATTCATGGAAGAAACAGTATTTCTTACAAACCAATATTTTGTACACATACCACGCACACATATGTAATTATTTATGTATATTGCTTCACTCAGGCAAGCGACTTTTTTGCACCTTGCTCCTTGGGTGATATAAGGGCTCTAACACCAAGAGTGCACTTTGCACCCACCTTTAACCACAATGGCTTAGTCTGCTAGAGGGCCATTAATATGCTGCCTTTTGGATTTTTAATAAAAATGCTAAACAATAAAAATGAATTGGTTTGCAATTCTAAACAATGAAAATGCTAAAACCACATTCTTACCACACAGGGCTTTCCACAGTCCTTCCCTTTACTCCTGCAAGTGTTGCTTTCAGTCATCTATGAAAGTTTTTGACCTGTGTAATTGTGGTGTGTACTATTCCGTGACATGATATTGGCGTGTAGGCTGAATTTGACCCTATAAGATGGTTGGATAAAGCGTTGATACATATATGTTCTCGGTTTGGGGATTACCAAAAGGATAGCCCATCTTCTTTCAGCCTGTCTCCAAGGTTTTCAATATTTCCTCAGTTCATGTTTCATTTACGGCGTTCGCAGTTTGTCCAGGTATAATCCATCTTGGTTTTAAATAATATTTTCCTTTTCATCAGAATAATTGAAAACCTATAGCTATTATAGGTTATGCATTATATTAGATAATTTTCTTCTGGCTATTATAGGCTATGCATTATATGTGATAATTTTCTTAAACTAGGCTGGTTCATACCTTACAGGTCTTCAATAACAGCCCTGATGAGACGGCATACTTTAGAATGATCCTGAATCGGGAAAATGTTGCCAATTCAGTTGTGATGATTCAACCTTCACTGATTTCCTACTCATTTCAGTCTGTTCCAGAACCAGCATTGCTTGATGTGGCTGCCATTGCAGCTGACAGGATCCTTCTTTTGGACTCTTATTTCACTATTGTTATTTTTCATGGCTCAACTATCGCTCAGTGGCGAAAAGCTGGATACCACAATCAACCTGAGCATCAGGTAGTTTTTCTTGAACTTGGAATTTTCATATTCAGCCTAACAAGAAAGCAAGCTTATATTTATCCAAAAAACATTACTATGATATATTTCGTACTTTTATTGGTACCCAAAAAAATTTAGCAAAGGCAGTCTGTTCGATTCTTTGTTTCTTCCCAATAGAATATTATGATATCATAATTATAGATGGAGAATTATACCACTTTTTTCTCCACTAATGAAGAAAAGGATTACTGCTGGTCTCCAAATTTTTAAGCCCTTAGTTTTAGAGTCTTTGGCGTTGAATTTCAAGGTTTTTTTTTTTTTTTCTATTTTTTGCATTGGAGATGGTAACCTGTGTTTTGCCTATAGTTGTACTGGATATGGTAATTTTATTGGGCCTTTGCCTCCAAGTCTTGATTATTATTGGTATAAGGATGTAGGAACTAAACATGTATAAGCAAATATATTTCTTGTGTAGGAGTGGTACAAATTAGATGGTAAGTAAGTAAGAAGATGGCATTATAACAGAAGTGCATTTTCACCATCGATGATCACATAAGCACTCACCGTATCAAAAGTGATGTAACAGGGAAAGAGAGATGTGAGGGAAAATTAGGGGGAAAGGGAAAAGCAAACAGTGGTGGGCATAAATGCATGTTCTTATCATATCATTTATTGGGTGTAGGCTTTTGCTCAGTTGCTGCAAGCTCCTCGTGGTGATGCAGATGCAATAATTAAGGAAAGGTTTCCAGTTCCTCGACTAGTCATTTGTGACCAGCATGGCTCACAGGTGAGAATTTAGTTAGTCCCTTTCCTCCTTAAGAGAAAGAGAAAGAGATGACATTCTTTGTTGTTCATCCATGCTTGATTTGCTAAGTGTTGGTTTTGATCCTCCTCAGGCTCGTTTTCTTCTGGCAAAGTTGAATCCTTCTGCGACATATAACTCGGATGGTCATCATCCGGATGGAGACATCATCTTTACCGACGATGTCAGCTTTGAGGTGTTCTTGGATCATCTCCAGAGATTAGCAGTTCAGTAAAATAGGATAGCCACAGCCAGCCAATTTTGTAAAATTTCTCATTTTATTTTTTGTACAGTTGACCATAAATTGGTTTAATTTCTGAATTTGGGCCTTTATATTTTAATTTCAATCCCCACGGAATGCGTAGATGCTAGATTATATTATATTATATTATATTATATTGCGATTCTTTTTTTTTTTGAAAAAAAAAAGCCGTTATATTATACTGCTCACTAAAACGAAACGACGGAATATTAATCTCATGCTGCATTTTACCATATCTTGTTTTTATATATATGACCAAATCATACTTGCTACCCCCTAACATCCTCGCATCTCAAAATTAATATCTATTAGCCACGTTAAGTTATTTACTCATGGCTTTTTGTATTAGAATAAAAGAAATAAATTAATTTTTTTAAAAAAAATAAAATCACAATCATAATAAACCCTTTTATATATCAAATAAAAAAGATAAAAAGAATAAACCGTGTAATATTTGTATTGGTTTTAATTTACTGTAGAGTAAATGTTAACCCAATGTCTAAGAGGACAAAAAGAAAAAAACAGTAACCAATGTCTAAAGGAAACGATTGACGGTGTGGTTGTTCCATCAGAATCGGAGGGGAGGGGAGGGGAGGCTCCAAGTTCGATCCTTTCGGAGAAACTCTATTTTTCAATCACAATCAACATGAAAAGCCGAAACGCTTATGTTCCACCTCCTTACATACCCTTGGGACAATCGGACCAAGAGCTTCCTCCTCCTGCTGGGGATGGACCTGCTTCGCCGCCGCAGTCGCAGTCGCAATCGCAATCGCAATCGCAATCGCAATCGCAATCGCAATCGCAATCGCAATCGCAATCGCAATCTCAATCTCAGCCTCGTCAGTGGTCCTCCGGAATCTGTGCTTGTTGCGATGACATGCAGAGCTGTATGCTACTTTCACCTTTCGTTTTTCAGGTGCCTCTTTGAGATTCATAGAAAGAAATGCTTAATTTGGAAATTGTCACCCAATAATTTCAGTTCTAGCTAGGCTAGACTGTCACATTTAATTAGTTAATTGCTCATATTTTCGCATACGCTCAGCTGAGACTGACTGCATTTTGCAATTTTTTCGTCTCAGGTTGTATAGGTCTTTTCTTTCCCTGCTTTTTGTTCGGAAAGAATGCACAATTTATGGGTTCCGGTACTTTAGTGGGATCCTGCCTCACCCATTTCATTCTTTGGGCTTTTGCCAACACTTTCTGCTGCATGTTAACTCAAGGCCTTTTCTTGGGCTTACCTGGATGCTTTGTCTCTTGTTATGCTTGTGGCTACCGGAGGGCGCTTCGAGCAAGATACAATTTGCAGGTATTAAGACATCTTTGTCTGCTTTCATCCAATTGGATTTTTCTGTGTATGTTTTCCCTTTCCATTGCCCTATTCCTGACTTAAATGAGTTATGTCAAGCTGTATTTTGATGCTTATTTTAGACTATGATGCTACTTAACTTATTTGCATTATCATGTCACTCTGTCAACTTTTCTTAAACTGGCTCAAGAGTTATTGACATTTATGGATCACTTTTAAACATCATTAATTTCCTTAGTTTCCTACCAATTTTACAGGAATGAAAGGAAGTGCCAGATGCTTATCTGTAAGGCTGTGTAATTTCAAATTTTAAACAAGATTAGTTTATGGATCTTACATAAGCATAAAATTTTCTAGCACCTAATCATTGCCTTCATCTCCCTGGTGCAATTAGGTGGGCTCAACATTTTATTCTTTTCAGATTTTCTCTTTATTCTCCTCTCTATACCAAGCTTTTATTAGTATACAAGCAGGCCTTGCTTCAGTTAATCAATGCTTAGAAAGTCTAGCTTTTTCTTATATTAGCAACTTTGGAGTCCCTTAAAAGCTTCTTTAGTTTCTGATAAGAAAATTCCATCTTTTAATGTCTATAATTTCCAACAAGAAAACATAGTCTATATCAAGTCCTTACAATCAATCTGATCGATCCTCAGAATCTTCAATCCCTAATATTCAATTTTATCTAGCACTGGAAATAAATGAATTCTGCATCACCAAAAACCCTAATAACTATAAATTTAAGAACTTGGATATACATATCTAAGTTATTGAATAAAAGCCTAAGGCCAGAAATATGTGAATTAGCTCACTTCTATGGTACCTTAAAGATCTTCATGCTCGTTGACATGGATAGTTCATGAATGGTGTCGTTGAATGTGATAGGTCTTCCTTTTCACTTGATTGCTGACATGCCCTCCTGGTGTTGCAATATGTACTTAATATAGCATATTTCCAAAAATTAGTTTCATGGCATTCTATGATCTTGACTATCCATGAAGTAGGTTCTAAATTGGTTGCACTTTGGGCTCACAATCATGAGCAATCAAGATTGTTATGTATGATTACTTCATTTATAGGAGGATATTCTATTCAAATTGAGAGCAAGGTTTGAGAATTGTTCTCCTTCATTGAGAGGATTTAAGTATTTGATTCTTCGCCAAGAAGTGTTGCATCTGTTGAGCTTTAGTAGGAGATTTCCACACCTCGACCATGTGATGTAAGACAGGTCTGGATGATTTGACTTTGTGGAGTCTCTGGTGTATTAAATTATGTGATATAAACCATGTGATAAAGTTTTGAGTTTGTGGTATGGTTGGAGCCCATAGATCTTTGTAGCCTTTTTTAATGGGGATTGGATGAGAAGAGTGACTTGAACTCAGGTAGCTGGTGCTGAAATTGTTTGCACCAACCACAAATAGTTTTTAGATTTCCTGACATTTATCCTTGGGCCAAGTTCCAAGTAATCCGAAGTAAGTTGATTCGTCAATTAGCTTCTTTGCATCCTGCATTAACTGCTTTGTTGTTTTAGAAACTGTGCTTTCAACTCTCTTTTGCTTTTAAGAGGAGAGTTCTCCTTGAAACACACTGACCATGTTCCATCATCAATTTCTTTATTAGCATGCCATTGGTTCTGGTATATAAATCTTTTTGCAGAAAACTGCATTGCTTCACTGGTTTTTGTTTCTTCTTCTTCTATTATTTTTCAATTGGTCATGACAGATAATTTTATAAAATCACTTTATTCTTGAGATTTCAGTTTCTAATTTCTATGGAAAGATATATGTAACAATATAAACCCAAAAGGGATCAATAATTCAACCAAAGGCTTGGTCCGAATAAGTAGCTCTTTGCATCACAAGGTGCTTGGTATGCATTGAATGATGCAATTATTTGGGATTTGTTGAGACTGAAGATATGAGGGACTATAGAAGAGCTCTCAATTCCTTGGCGGCCTTTTGCTCTTAATAGAGAACTTTTTTTGACTCATATCTCTTTTTTAGGCCCTTTTATAACACCATTGTTCCTACTTATGAATTTGTCGAAATTGATATATATTAAGGCTTTTAGGGGATAAAGAGGTTCATTTTTCATCAGATTAAGAGTGCTTGTTTCTCATTTCTTTTATTAGCATAGACCGGATGCAAAATGGTAAATGAAAGAATTAAGAAGTACTCATCACCACCAAGTTCCAAGATGAGAAATGGTAATACATTGGCACATTAAGTAAAGCAAATTTTATGTTTACCTCCCCTGCTTTAGGTGAGATCTGACCTGAGGATAGAATCCTGCCCTCACCCCTAAAACTATTGAATCCTATGTTATTAGCTGGTGTCAAAATGTTTGATTGTTCAACAACCATTACATATTTATAGATACCAACAAATTGGTCCAACTAATAGTAACAAGGTTTTGGATGAGATGTCAAATAATCAATTTCTTTGGGCAATAATAACTTGGTTTTTTTTGGCGTCCAGCACTTGCAGACTAATATGTCAGAATCCATTCTAGCGGGCACACTAACTTTGTTTTTCCTTGTTAAGCAGCTTCATAAGATATTTTCCTTCCAAATTCCTACTGCATGCTTATCTTTTGCTAATCATTGTTTGTGTCTGGTGCAGGAAGCACCTTGTGGGGACTTGGCTACTCACTTTTTCTGCCATCTATGCGCCATTTGTCAAGAGTACAGGGAGATTCGCGAGAGGGCAGGGGATTGTGAACCCCCTGATCTTAAGCTGGGTGTGGTCACTGCTGCACCAGCTGTCCAGACAATGGAATCATCAGCTGTGTAGAACTATAATGCTATTGCTGCGATGTAGTTTTCTGTCCAGCACCTGCGATGTGTTCAGGGTTGTACTTGTTGATCTCTTTTTACAGAAGCTGAGCTGCCAGGACATGTATTAACATTTGGTTCAAAGACTAAGATGAGGGAAGGTTTTTATTCTGATTTGTTATTATGATTTTTTTAAAAAATTTTATTTATTTGGGCTTAATGGGAAACAACAAGAGAAGTTTTATTTTCCCATGATCACGGCTGCAATTGCAATATTTTTAATTAATTACATGAGAAATTTTTTAAGTTTAATCGAGGAGGAGTTGTAAAGCTCCCGTGTCCGCTGCTGTTGCTGGAGTTTCAATCGAGGTGGAACTCTTTGACTTTCAAATAACTGGTGGCTGCATTTAGCAGGGCAGAGCTAGGGTTCTCGCATTACGCTTTAGAAGCACAAGTATTGACCATGAACTGTGACACAGCCCGATGGTTCAATTAATTCCACAGGGATGAAATAAAAAAAATTATATCCAAAATACATAATATAAATAAAATCTAGCAATAAATCAAGCAATAACTGGTGGCATTGTTCAACTGCTGTGATAGGCTTGCCTGCTTTCACAGCAGCCTCCGCATGTCTGCTCAAATTTTTTTAACTTCCATAAAATATTCTCACTGAAAATATTTTTTTTTTGTTATTTAGTCATTATTCTTTTTTAATCATTTATTCGTTTCCTTTTTTAAAAAAGAAATTTATCCACTTGTCATTGACAAATCAAATATTATAATTTTTTAACTCAAAATTAACTAAAAACTTAAATTAAGTATGACATTATTTTTAAAATGTTTATTTTAATCAAAATTAAATACAAAATAGGTATTATTCAGATAATAGTTTTAAGAATTAATAAAAATATAAGATCTTTTTTCTTCACTCTTATATGCATTTATAAAATAACTTTATTTATTAATACAAAAGAAAACAAAAAAAATAAAAACTCAAGCGGAGACAGAGACAGTTTTAAGCCTAAGGTTTTGGCATCTGTTGTCTAGGGTTTAAGCATTTTGGTTCATCTATCACTCCTTCTCTGCATTAGCGATGTCCCTCTACCGCCTTCTTCTCCGCTCAATCAACCACCATCAACTCCACCGGCGTCCCAACGCGGCCCTTCCCCTCTCCTGCTTCCTCCACAATGCAGCGTTCAACCCTGCCTCTGAAAACCCAATCCAAAATCCTCAGGCTCACACTCCTCCCCCACCCCCGCGCTCGTACGCCTTCACTTCCGCAGAAGAAGCGCGGCAGAGCGACGCCGCCGCAAGCGTCGATTGCGAATAGAGCCCTCAATACACGCCCTCCGTGCCTCTGCCCCCTCCGGCCCTCCCACTCGTGACCCCAATGCCCCGCGGCTTCCAGACAGCACCTCGGCCCTCGTTGGTCATCGGCTTAACCTTCACAACCGTGTTCAGTCCCTTATCCGCGCCTCCGACCTAGACGCGGCCTCTCTCCTTGCTCGCTCCTCCGTGTTCTCCTCCACTCGCCCCACTGTCTTCACCTGCAACGCCATCATCGCCGCCATGTACCGCAACAAACGCTTCAACGAGGCAATAAAAAATAATTATATCCAAAATACAAAATATAAATAATATCTAGCAATAAATCATAATTAATAATTTAATGAATTAACTCTTCTACCTAAACAATACTACTTTGACTTCATCGCTGCAATTAAATTCATGACAGGATTCCTAACGGGAATGTACAGTCGTGTTCTACTAGGATCAGGAAAAAAAAGATATAAAAGATGTGAGGAGTCACAACTCAAATCATTAATTCTCATACCCTAAAAAGAAACAAAACCAACTTGCTCTTCCTTTCCATCCCATGACAGAACAAGTCGCAACTCCAGATTGGGGTAATATTGTAGGTGATCTTTTAAGATGCATTGCTGATAAAACTTTCTCATTCCAAGATCGTGTCCGGATGGGTGCAGTTTGTCGGTCTTGGCAAGGTTCATTGGAGAATGACAAAATCAATTTTCGCATTTTTTTGATGCTTGCAGAAAAAGAGAATAGTGATAGACGTTGTTTTAACATTGGTGCAACAGAAATTATCTTTGAGCTCGAATTACCGGAGATCCGAGGAAAGAGGTGCTGGGGTACTCCTTTTGGTTGGTTGGTCACTTACGGTCTTGATCATGAAATTGGATTGTTTAATCCTTTATCCAGAGTTAGCCTCTCCCTTCCTTCACAACGTACCATGGATGATGATATGATTATCCACTATACACCACAACAATTGCGTTTGCATTTTATACATAAAGTCTTATTATCTTCGAGTCCAGCTTCCCCTGATTGTATTATTATGATAATTTATGGGGAGATGAATTCATTAGCTTTTGCAAAGCCCGGTGATCAAGCATGGACTCAAATTCCTTTTAGCTCTCTATTGGAGGATGTCAACTGCTTCAAAGGCAATTTCTTTGCGGTTCATCATATGGGGCAACTTCTTTTATGTGAGGGTTTAAATGGATCATTTCCAAAACTCGTTGAATTCGCTGCACCACCTCCAGGAATTGATCCTGGTGCTAAGAAATATATTATTGATTTGGACGGCGATCTTTGTATGGTGGTTCGCCAACGTTTTCCATACGAGGTTAGTTACGACAGTGGAAAAGTTGAAAGAGTTTATTTAACGGAAGATTTTGATATTTTCAAACTTGACATGCTTACAAAGAATTGGGAGAAAATCTTTTCCTTAGGTGACCGCTCCTTATTTCTTGGGAATTGCTGTTCTTTTTCTATCTTGGCAAGTGACCACCCTGGTTGCAAGTCTAATTGTATTTACTTTACGGATGACAATTCTCATAATTATACTCGAGTTAGTGTCTCCGATATAGGTATTTACAATTGTGATAATAATGAGGACATAGACTACATTGATGATGATGAAGTGCCAGATCTACTTAATTCATTTTCCCCGCCGTTGTGGATCAAGCTATTCTAAACATTTACTAATTGTCAGATTTTTTTTTTTGTTTTGAGTGATTGGATTTTATTTATTTATTTATTGTGTTTTCCTAGCATTTTAGGGTTGTACTTGTTTTATCTCTTTTTACCAAAATTTTTTAAGTTCAACGGAGGAGTTGTAAACCTCCCGTGTCCACTGCTCCTGCTGCTGGAGGGCAGCATTTAATTTTTAAATGAGCGGTGGGCGCATTTAGCAAGTGAGAGAGGGCTACAAGTCTTGCATGCCATTAATAATTTAATCAATTAACTTTTTCAAGAGTGAGTCTCTAGACAGCACTACTTCTACTTCATCAATGCAATTAAATTCATTATTCCTACTTGGAATATACATACAGAAAGAACCAACAACTACTGAACCTTTAACCACCTGCCTAATTAGCTACATAAACTACAAAATGAATACTGTTATCAAACGTTCATTCTGGGGTGGGGGCAGTTAAGGGCATTAAATCTCACTCTCTTAACTGCTTGACGAGAAAAAAGATTTGGCAATTTCAGTGGACAAGATGGCAACTTTTCCTCTTAAGGAACCCTAGATAAGGAAATATAATGCCTGCATGAGGTCCATAGTATCTTGAAAATATCAGACTCAGTCGATTTATGCTTGCCACAGCACCACAATCACCCAAGCATAGCTGAATCGATGAAAGCTTAACCAATTCATATCCAATCACAATGTGATCAGGGCCATAGAGCTTTTCCAATATCTGCAACCAAAAACTAAACTATGAATATCTTATTCTAACACCATTAATTTAGAATCTTCATCATAGTAGCTGATGATGTACGGCCATAATAAATTTCATCAAGCATTTCAGAGGTTGTGTGTTCATAGAGACAACACTTCCAATATCCTGCAAATAATGGAAAATGGTGATCATCCTAACCTAGTTTATGCATACAACACCACTGTATGGATATAGCTTTTGCCATCTCACGCCATCTGGAAACATACTCCTGGAAAGAGTTTCCTATATTTCAGTGAAAGGCACTTGAGTTCTAAGCATATTTAGCTCACCAAAATGGTACATATTGCCCACCTTGAGCAACTATAACATATTGAAGCTAATAGAGTAAGCTTAGATCGAAAACAGGCATTATTTTCAGGTTAATTACACGAAGGTTTACAAGTAGTACTCAAAAAGTTCGATGCAAATCCTTTTTGTTTTCCTTCTCTTTATGATCTGTATGTTCATGATAAACAATGTCCAACATGGTGCATAAAATCAGTTCAATGAGACAGCACCAACAATACTGAGGTTGATAGAAGATTTATTCGGTTTGAGACAGTCCCTATTCACAAAACATTTCTGATGTCAAGAATTGATATCAGACATTTAAAGTTTATTGAAGAAAGGGCAAAATGATTTGGAAGCCTCTGGTAGATCTCTCCCCACTCACTCTTCCCATTTCACTCCTTCCTCCTCTTCTCTTAACTCTCATTATCTTTCTCGTTTAACCAATTCATGAAACATTTGATACCTTATAACCGCACTAATATGATTTAAAAATTATTCTTAACATCAAAGCAGTAAACAAAAGACTAAATAGTTATAACTGGTTAACATAAACCAACAGCTATAACTAGTTATAACTGGTTTCATCAGAATTGAATAGCAATATGATTCTTGCACTGGCAAGCAGTTACCTCAATCGATGCTTTACAATGGTCTCTTGCTGGCTGCAGATCTCCCGTGAAACAAAATGCCTGTGCAAGATTGTCCTCTGCCTGCAAAAGACAATTTCATACATGGTAGCATCTCATATCATTGGTTGTAATTCTCATTAAACTCAGAGTGGCAGCACCACAGGGAAGGGGCTAATAATTAGTCAATGAAACTCACTTCTCCCGTGCCTTTGTTATAAGCATGCAGTATTGATCTCAGAATACCAACAGATCTCAAAGCATCTGAAAGCTCAGTACTGTGCATATCTTTTAAAGTTATTGAATCCTGCAGCCTATTAGGCAATGAACAAACTGTAGGTAAAACATATGTACTTCTCTGTAGGGCAGTATGTACATCCATACATCATGAGTTAAGGCTTTACAACATAATTTAAAATGAATGTGAAAAGTACGGCCTAGACTCAGAGATTATAATCTTTACAAGATTATATCTAAAAAAAAAGAAAGAAAGATAGAAACAGAACCAAGATCCTAATATGTGATTCCATAGATTCAGAGAGAATATAATCGAGAACATCACAAAAGCTTTGGTGCATATTAACTGTATACCTTCTGAGATTAATCCAAGCTTTTTTAACTGCTTCACTCATAGATGCCAAATTGCAGTAGGAACCACATTTCAAGCAATACTCGGAATCAATACGGAGGGAACTACGCGTTTCATCAAGTGAAATGTGAGCTGCTTTCTTGATGTCAATATCATTGGGCTCATGTACCTGGAGATTGACGAAAGTTACATAGTCCATCTAACAAACTCTGGAAAACCCAACAAAATTCCACACAAATAACCTACATACTACAAAGTAATGTTCACGAAAACATAAGACATGTTTTAATTAAGTTTCTGAGATAAGTACATTAATTAAGTAAAAACTGTTTCCTTACCAATATATTCATCTATTATTGGCAATTGTTGAATATTAACTGGAATGTTTTAACCATTTCCAAAAAAAAAAATTTTAAATGTATTAACCATTCCTTTATAGGAATTTAAAACAGATATTTTGTTTTAGTATTTAGCATAGGATTCAGCTAGCCTGTACTCATTCTTTTACTGTATAGCCAATCTTAACTCCAAATTGCACCACAAAGGAATTAAAGTACCTGCAAATGAGACTCAACGCCAATTGTTTCTGGAGTTTTAAGTTTCTGCTTTTCACAGTTAGCCACAAGATTATCTAAAACCACTCCAGAACAATTTGGATTAACACAACAAAATCCATTAATTACAAGATCAGATGCATTCACTTCTGAACAACCACGGCAACGACATCGAAAAAAGTACTGTTCACCAAGAAACCTAAGGCGGTCTTTACAGTCCCATTGCCCAACCTGCAAATAAAACTCAACATTAAGAAATTGATCTTCTCCATTCGCAACAGATTTGATGTAACACAACCCCAGAGAAAATAGTAACATCACCATTACCCTCCCCAGAGAAAATGTGTGTGCGTGTCTGTGTGTATGAGAGAAGAGAAAACCTGTGGACCATAAGACAATTCCAGGGGACACCCTCCAGCCACAAACTCTGTTGTTCTTATTAAGAGAGAACGTGAAATAAAATATGCATGGATGTTTGGCCGGCATGAATGGTTGAACAAGCTGGCAGCTATATAAAGAGCCTGACCTACTCTGACCTGGCAAATCACAAAATAATGAAAAAATGGCACATGTTTAGTAACAAATCAAATTAATGTGTAGAGAGTGAGAATAAATCCCAATGGATGATACAGTGTGGAATAAATTTTAGAAACCAAACTGAAGAGTTTGGTCCCCAAAAATTGAAACCAAAGCAAGCCAAATTAAGTGTCCAAATTAAATCAGTTTAAACCAGGATGCTTTGCTTTGGTTTGGTGTGCTATGCCATTTAGGCCTTCAGCTTGCTGAGGTTTTACCATACAAATGACCTAAATAAATCTAACAGCACTGACCAAATCAGATCGTATCAGCCCTAGAGAGGTCAGAATGGACTTAATAACCATTACAATTCATCATTAGGAATGCCCAGAGATGAAAGGAAATGGAAAGAAAATATAAATAACAAGCGCTTAAAACTTTCAAATACTTGCAACATCATTGCAAAGGGCAACTGAAGGGAAGGGATGAAAAGCAGGTTATTAAAGAATGTGACAAACAAAAAATAAATACTTCAAGGGAAAGAATGAAAAGCATACAGTAAAACAAACCTGTTCCACACTACTAGTTAAAGCTGTCTCTGCCTCACCAGAGGAAAACTTTCGAAACCAATCTTGCTGGTCATAAACATCACTGGATTTCATACGTACAATTGCCATAGAATTCACTCTAATTTGAGATAGAAGTATGACAATCTGCATACAAATTACAAAACAGATCCCAATAACTAATGAATATGAATTATCCAGTCAAGGATTCAAGGCTATATCAACAGTCCGAACATCCAAAATGGCAAATCTTTGGGCGACATGCACAAAGCACTGCTATCACTCTGGAACCATATATAAAATCTCAAGCAGAACTTAATGATTGAATGGGAAAATAGGAAATACAAACTGAGACATAACACATGTCAAAAAGTTGCTGTAACCGGAATGTGTACGTGTCAAATACTTAGATGGCAAGGCAAAAATAATTAAACATGCTGATTGAAGACTAACATGCTGGTTTCTTGGCTGTTGAAATCATTGAACATATGCGTAGCATGTATGTAATGGAGAGAGAGAGATGAACTAAAACTTTCAAGTATATTTATGGTTTTGTTTGCTTTTGCACTAATAACTTGCACATCAGCCATATCTACCAAATGAAGTGAAACAAGATGTAGGTTGAAGTCATGTCAAGCAAACACCTCAACTGAGAATGTATAGATAAGTCTCCAAAGATCTCCTAGTGATATATGAAAGAAAAAAAACTAGCTCCAACAAGCTCCATACTAAGTAAAATGGATTTCCATCCTTCTCTTGCTCCCCAAATTGTTTGGGAATGGATACTCCATTTTTTTTTTTCATTTTTAGGGTTCGATTCAGATTTAAGAAGGCAGGAAACTTTAAGTCTCATAGTCTCCCTGCTAAGGTGAAAGGATACAAAAAGTAAAAAGGCATTTATAAAAAAAGGTTAGAAAGTACACTAATACTACATAATAGTAGTAAAGAAAATCAACTAATCAAATATAAACAGCTAAATAAGAGAGAAGGATTGAGAGGACCCGTGATGTGGAGACTCCATTTATTGAAAGTTCTGAACTGTACGAGTGTTGGAGACAAAATAACAGTACAATGGAATATATATTCAGTTCCAATTTGCTTTCTGGAGGCATTTTTGAATAACTCTCACAAAGCCCCTACAAGTAAAAATATACAGGCCATAGCTGGAAGGTCAACCCTTGACATAATCATTATCCATTAACTGAATTGAAAGTCAACATCAAAATTACAGTTGAGGGATAATACCAAAGTTTCCGAAAAATTTGGAACCTCAATAAATTGTCCTTTCTGCTCTATAGATTTCACTACAACTCGACCAGCCAGAACTATGTCAGAAGGCAATATTGCGGGCCAGTGCACACCTTGACATTCATGTTTATGTTCCGGAATGCACTCAAGCTTTGGATCAAAATTACTGCCTACAGTTTTATCCGCAATATACTCTTCAATCGAGCTGGACATCTTTTCACATATGTCAACTTTATTTGAATAATTGAAGTGTATTTGTCCCCCTGCTCTCACTTGGCAATGCTGGGAACAGTACAATGGCATTGAACATGAAATACAGGGGATAGTATCTGCTGGTAGTTCATTCAAGCAATAATGGCAATGAGTTTCTCGGCAATGCTTCAAAATGACCTGAACATTTTATAATCAAGTAAAGTTATATTCCTCATTAGCCAAATTGGATCAAGGGTAGGTAAAGTATAATGCTTTGAGCTCATGTAGTAAAATAAAATGTATCGAAGTAAAATTGTTTAGGTAATAAAGTTAATGAATTAAATTCTTAAGGTGGTAAAGTCTACTGCTCAAACCACAAACCACAAGGAGAGTGGTAATACCAATCAATACTAGTCTACTAAGAGAAAGAAGCAAATACGACATTGTATGATATAAATAATGATATTTCCCAGGACCAAAGCTATTGTATGGAAAATATCTATATTTGATAAAAGTATATTTCTAAGTACTCATTAAGTGATACCTACTCAAATTTAAAACCATATAAACTTAAATGATAAATCAACAATAAAATATCTAGAATAATTATGTTCATACCACAGCATAAGGTTCTTCAGTATGAATCAAGGAAGCTTGAGGAATGTCAAATTGGGAAGCCGTACCCCTTCCTTTATCTGGGGTCGTGATGCAGTGTAGCTTTATTTGGTGTGGCACATCTGACAGATGATTTGTACTGTCTTAATAATTTAAAAAAAAATGCACCTTGTGTTACAAGTATATACCAAGAAAATACAAGAATGGAATAAATAATAAATAACAATCCTCAAAGTAACTACAGGGCAGATCACACAATATATTTCTTCTCTGCAAGAGATTGCAAACAATTATAACAAACAAGTATAAGAATTTCAAAAGTCTCTAGAACTTTTAATAGAATGGTCATATGAAAGCAAAATGTGAAAAAAAAAAAAAAAGGATTGGCTATTGAAGAAAAATGCAAGCGCAGAAACAGAGATATTTGGATGCTGATCAGTGGTTACCATCTAACCTGGAATTCCTACACTTTCCTGGTTATAGTGAACTGGTTTAGCACTTTTCCTGTCATGATGCTGTCCAAGTCTATCCAGCTCACTTTCTATCTGTTTCTTTCCCCCTAGTGATGGCTCCATGTTGCTAGCAACAGTTAAGTCATGGACCGCATCTTGGTAATTCCCCAGAGTAGCATTTACCTTGCCTCTCCTATACCACGCCTGTGATAAAGATTTGTCACTGCCACCAGGTAGTTTGGTGGAAGAAGCATGAAACAGAAAGAAATAACAATCACAGAAGGAAAGGAAAGAAATGGTATATGTGGTTTGGCACAACAGAAAGCTATATTTATAACTGTGTATGGGAAGCAACAAATGATATGTACCTTAGGATAGGAAGGAGCAATTTGAAGAGCCCTGCTGCAATCTCGGAGAGACTCCATTGGGAGGTCCATTTTCTACCAAAAAACAAACACATTAGACAAATTATCAACGGGAACGACTTGTTTTCTTTCAGAATTGGATGAACAAAAAAGGGTGGCACTAGTGGAGCACAAGAGGAAAACAACAATGGAATTTGGCAGTGACAAGCGACAGACTCACGTGAAATAAGGAAGCTCGATTTAAATACAACGTTGCAACAAGATTTTTGCCCATGTCGTCGGCATCAATGGGAGCAACACGAAGAGCCTGTTACTCAGAGCAAAAAACAAGGGATTTTTATCTTTTCGGATAGAAAAAGAAGAAAGGCAAAATCTTTAACCTATTTATTAATGGAATTGAAAAGAAGAAAAGACCTGAGAATAGCAACGCAAAGCCTGGGAGTAATCTCCAGTGGAATAGCATTGATTGCCCTTTTGCTTCAAGTCCAAAGCAGCCTCCCTGTTCTTTCCGTAAAGACCGGTCTCTCTCTTTTGCCAACTCTCCGATCAACTGATGGAATTCCGGCGAACTGAGAAACAAGTGAACAAGGGAAGATGATACTGAAGGAAGATCATCAGCACTGCTCTCTGCCACCCTCCGCTTCACGCTTTCTGGAACCAAACATCTAAGCTTCTCCATCCTCAACTGCGGTGATAGGCTTGCCTGCTTTCACAGCAGCCTCCGCATGTCTGCTCAAATTTTTTAACTTCCATAAAATATTCTCACTGAAAATATTTTTTTTTTGTTATTTAGTTATTATTCTTTTTTAATCATTATTCGTTTCCTTTTTAAAAAAGAAATTTATCCACTTGTCATTGACAAATCAAATATTATAATTTTTTAACTCAAAATTAACTAAAAACTTAAATTAAGTATGACATTATTTTTAAAATGTTTATTTTAATCAAAATTAAATACAAAATAGGTATTATTCAGATAATAGTTTTAAGAATTAATAAAAATATAAGATCTTTTTTATTCACTCTTATATGCATTTATAAAATAACTTTATTTATTAATACAAAAGAAAACAAAAAAAATAAAAACTCAAGCGGAGACAGAGACAGTTTTAAGCCTAAGGTTTTGGCATCTGTTGTCTAGGGTTTAAGCATTTTGGTTCATCTCTTCCCTTCTCTCTGCATTAGCGATGTCCCTCTACCGCCTTCTTCTCCGCTCCCTCAACCACCATCAACTCCACCGGCGTCCCAACGCGGCCTTCCCCTCTCCTGCTTCCTCCACAATGCAGCGTTCAACCCTGCCTCTGAAAACCCAATCCAAAATCCTCAGGCTCACACTCCTCCCCCACCCCCGCGCTCGTACGCCTTCACTTCCGCAGAAGAAGCCGCGGCAGAGCGACGCCGCCGCAAGCGTCGATTGCGAATAGAGCCCCCAATACACGCCCTCCGTGCCTCTGCCCCCTCCGGCCCTCCCACTCGTGACCCCAATGCCCCGCGGCTTCCAGACAGCACCTCGGCCCTCGTTGGACATCGGCTTAACCTTCACAACCGTGTTCAGTCCCTTATCCGCGCCTCCGACCTAGACGCGGCCTCTCTCCTTGCTCGCTCCTCCGTGTTCTCCTCCACTCGCCCCACTGTCTTCACCTCAACGCCATCATCGCCGCCATGTACCGCAACAAACGCTTCAACGAGGCAATTGCTCTCTTTCACTTCTTCTTTAAGCAATCTGATATTGTTCCAAATGTTGTTTCCTACAACAATTTGATTAATACCTATTGCGATGCGGGTGAAGTTGATACTGCTATCCGAGTTTACCACGAGATTTTGGAAAACGCGCCGTTTAACCCCTCTCCTGTGACTTATAGGCACTTGACCAAGGGCTTGATTGATGCTGGGAGGATTGGGGAAGCTGTGGATCTGCTCAGGGAGATGTTGAATAAAGGGCACGGTGCCGACTCTTTGGTTTTCAACAACCTCATATCGGGTTTTTTGAATTTGGGGAATCTGGATAAGGCCAATGAGCTGTTTGATGAATTGAAAGAGCGTTGCTTGGTTTACGATGGAGTTGTCAATGCTACGTTTATGGAGTGGTGGTTTAATCAGGGGAAGGATAAGGAGGCATGGACTCATATAAGTCGTTGTTGGATAGGAAATTTAAGATGCCCCCTCCTACCTGTAATTCACTTTTGGAGGTTTTGCTCAAACACGGGAAAACGAAGGAAGCTTGGGCCTTGTTCGATGATATGTTGGACAATCACACCCCACCCAACACACAGGCGGTGAATTCAGATACTTTTAATATCATGGTGAATGAGTGTTTCAAGTTGGGGAATATGGAGGAGGCCACTAGAACCTTTAAGAAGGTAGGCACGAAGCCTGGATCCAAGCCATTTGCCATGGATGTTGCTGGTTATAATAATATCATCACCAGGTTTTGTGAGCATGGGATACTATCTGAGGCAGAGAAATTTTTTCAAGAATTGTGTGGAAAGTCTTTGACACCAGATGTTCCAATGTATAGAACCATGATTGATGCATACTTGAAAGCAGAGCGGGTTGATGATGCTCTGCAGTCATTTACAAAAATGGTCGAAACTGGTTTGAGAGTGGTTGCCAGTTTTGGAACTAAGGTTTTCAGTGAATTTCTTAAGAATGGCAAGAACATGGAATCCGCATCTCTTTTGACAAAAATGGGGGAGAAAGATCCTAAACCGGATGCCTCTATTTATGATGTTGTAGTCAGAGGGCTTTGCAATGCTGATGACTTGGACAAGACCCTAGATATACTGGACCAGATGATGAAGTATTCCATTGGTGTTACTCCTGCATTGCAGGAGTTTGTACGTGGGGCTTTTGGGAAAGTTGGGCGGAATGAAGAGATTGATAGAGTTTTAAATGAAAATAGGTGGAGGTTCCCTGGGCCTCAAGCTCGATCTTGGGGACAGCCACCACGGCGGTCATTAGGTTCTCCTCCGATGGCAGGACAGCAATATCCTGGACCTTCACAAATGGCACGACAGCCATATCCTGGGCCTTCACAAATGGCAGGACAGCAGCCATTTGGATCCTCTCAATTTTCAGGGCAGCATTCATTGAGATCAGATTAGATTGTGGGGCAGCCATATTTAGGACCAGTGATGCGGGGGTGAAAGGTTTCATTGCCACTCTGAAAATCATCTCTTTTGTTCATCTATCTTTTATAATGGACTAGCTATTCTTGTAGTCAGGATCTCTCAAATATATTAAAAGTCTGATCAGTAGTTTTATATCATGATTATTTTCTCTGGTGAGATATCAATCAGTATTTGAACTGAACTTGTTTGTCATTGAGTAATTAAATGTGCGTTATGAAGCTAACTGTGGTGCAGTTGCTTCTTGGCTTTAGCTGCTTTCACCTGCTTCTTTGCTATTGATGCTTGTTGAATTCAACTTTCTATGAATTTCCATATCTTTAGCTACAGATACAAGCTGACCTAATATCTCTGAGAAAATGCATGTTTCAGAGTTGTTTGTGATAATTCTCACGATTATTATTTCATTTGAGCACCTCAATAGAGGCAAAAGGATAGGCCTTTGTGCTTTTAGCTCAAAGGGTAGAAATGGTTAATGTTGTGAAGCCAGGAAAGGAAAGGTAGAGGAGGAAAACGAAGGGGGGGGGAGAGGGGGTGTTCCAATCCCGCTCTGTGCTTATCTTCACTGGTTTTTGAACTTTGTCTGAACTCTGGGAGTTGTTCAACTGTTCATACTGAATTGTTTATTGCAACGCACCTAAAAATAAAAAAGAGGGGAACTGAAGACAGATACCATCTATTTCAAACCTGTTCAGATGTTGCTCAAGATTGGGTGTTCTTCTAAGAATACAATTTAATATGATTTTATGCTTAATTTTCTTTATTTCATTCTATTAATCATGAGAAGCTCTTTCATAAGCTAAGACAGACACACAAGTCGTTAAACTATAATTATTTATACAGCTTCATACTTCGAAGTGTGAAGTTTGAACTACATGCTTGCCGTTTCATTTCTGAATCTGAAAGCAATCCAATACAAACACATGGTGTTAAAAGGAATGTGTTATGCTAGAAATTCTCCAATTCAGTAGCTGCTGAAGCAAATAAGTGAAAGGCCCTGCCTTGGAAGAATGAGAACTGCAGATTCTTTGATCAACCATAGGAACTAGTTGAGCCAACTAATGGGAATCCAAGGTTATATAGTTGCCAGTCACCATGTGCAGAACAGTCACGGTGTGCTTAGTGTCCCAAAGCTTCCATGTAGTGATATAAGAATCTAGCCGTCTACAGGGTTTCAGAGAACAAAGGCTTGAAAAGTTTGAATCCTGTTATAATGTGCTCGTACCAAACAAAATCAATTAATTCATCGTTGTTTCATGTCCTCAACATAGTGGTTAACATGGAACAATCTGTTTAGCAGGATGGAAATCCTAATACTGCAACATACTGTATATACATGCACACCCCACCAACACAAAACCCAAGCATAGAGATGATCCCTGGCGGCTGACATGCAAAACAATACACCAGAAAAATGACGAGAAAAGCAGAGGAAATTTTGGCCTCCAGCAAAGCTTAGTTAGCCTAAGACTGCAAGCGAGCATACGTCAATAACCTTGATTTTTGTAAGCATCCTAGTTTCAGCGAAGCTTCATCTCACTTGGTTTGCTACCCCTAAATGCTGAAAGGGAGAAGAATGACCTCGTCCCTGAAACACAATCATGGTAAAAAAAGATTGGAATGTGCAACTACAAATCATACTGCAGCCAGGAACGAAGGAAACAGCAAGAGAGTAATGGAGATGGAAAATGACCTTTAGTAGTGGAGGCTGCAGTTGAGACACTGCCCTTGTGCATTTTGTGGGCATCAAATGTGCTGATGCCTGATTGAGCTGCATACACAAAACCCAGAATAGTGAGACTCGGGGAAGAGTCAGGGAATGGCAAATATTCACAACTATTTTGGAATTTCCCAGAAAGTTGAGCGAAGAAGCAAAACTAGACAAGGTATAGAATAATGAGCCACAAGCATGAAAGCAGCTATTTCTATGCTTTTGACCTGTAACCATCCAGATTCTATCTATTTGACAAACAGTTTGACAGAAAAGAAGCATGTAATGCATATGGCAAAGAGAGAATATACCAGATGGAAGCTCACGAGCATCCAAATGATTTTCATAGCCCTCACACGACATCTTTTGTTGCCCATAGTTCTTTGCCTGAAGGGCAGCCTTTCGCAGTAGGTTATCAGCATTTCTCTTATTAATAGCTTTTGATTCTTCTGCATCATCCTCTCCTTCAGAAAAGACCGATGGGCTAGACCAACCAGTTATATTTGCATCCCCCTTACTCTTCCGAGCAAACTTCAACAGCCTCTTCAGTCCCTTGGGTGCATCTTTTTGATAGATCATTGCAGGCGGATTTTCAGCATTTCCCCATTCAGTAGTATCAGCTTCACTACTTTCTTCTTGCAGCATCTGTGACAGAGAGTGACGGACCCGTGGACTTGCCAATCCAACAGGAGCAATGCTTGCTGAAGATGTATTTTCACCTGTGTTGTCATCACATTGGTTAGGCAGGTCCTGATGCTCTTCTATTTCCTCCCAAGCAGCTGGGGAGATGGTTAATTCTTCCTCACATTTTGAAGACTCAGCAATATTTTTTAAGCCATCATCAACATCAGGAGCAAGTTCGTCGATGCTCTCAACCACATCAGATTTCTGAAGGCCATTTACTTGTGTTTCCGACTGAATATCATCATCACAATGAACCAGTGATGAAATATCCTGATCCTGATGCTCATTCACCGGGACAGAAGCATTAACAATCTCATCACTCTCTTGAGTATCAATTGAATTTTCAGTGGTTTTCAGAGAGTCCTCCAATGCAGAGGGATTTTTTATCTTGTTAACGAGACCAACACTAGAGGTAAATCCTGAACCTTTACGGAGAAATGGCTTTGCTTCCAGCGGAACTACACTACTTTTCTTGGTCATCTTGTTATACAAACTAGGCTTTGCTGGAACCATACTGGAAGAGTCTCCAGGTGCTGTGGCAACTTTTGTCTTTGTTGTTTTGCTGCCTTTCATCAATCTTTGTTGCTGCTTCTCAGTCGCACTCTTTAAACCTCGTTTATCAGTCTGGGTTGCCTTTACATTTTTTCTTTCTGGCTGGGCGCTTTCCACTTTAGAACTTGGTCGAGGAACTGATTGTGCTGACTGAGGTTTCCGATGTGCTTGGGTAGTGCCAGCAGAAGAGATTCCACCAGAAGTTTTAGCAGGTGATATCCCTGTTGTTCTTGGTGAGGGTGTTGAAGGCCATGACTTACGAGTAGCGGGCAAGGGGGATGTTCTTGATGAAACCTTCTTCACAGTTGAAGGTTTTGTGGCTTCTTTCCTTGGATTAGCAGGCTGAGAAGGACTCTTAAGTTCTTTTTGTGAATTCTTAACAGATTTTTGGGACTTTGTTGGAGGATCCTTTTTAGAAAAATTATTCACATTTTTGGAAGCCATTTCAGCTTTCCTCTCATCAAGAACCTTCTGCATTGCTCTAAATTTTGCTTCCTTTTCAGCACGCTTTCCAGAATTTTCACCTCTCAGTTTTTGATCCCTCTTCACCTTGTAATGGTCATAAAATCCACCTCTCTGCTCCGGAAGCAAATTTTGTCTGACATTAGTTTGAGGCTTCCTACAGCTAACAGGCTGATTTTCCATCATTTTTTTGAACATTTGGTTTAACTCCACTTCCTTCTGTCTACTCCATTCAGCTGAGCTTTTTGACCTTTCATTAGCCTCATCTTCTTGGATTTTGTCTGTGACCTCTTGAACTTCTATTGGACTACATGAGCTCTCTTCCAGCCTTTCTAAGTTCACATCAACAGTCTCATTGATGATCTGACCTCCACTTCTAGAATCAGATTCCAAATCAACTCCTGCTGACCTCCCCATGGTATCATTATCAATGACATTATCAGGAGGCTCTGGAACAGGATCTTCAGAAGCATTCTGTAATTGGCATTGGGAGGATGATTCACCCATACCTGCACTCCATCTTCTCAATACAGACTTACTTGCACCAAGAGAGTTGTTTGTTAATGAGTTCTTTTTTGGCATATCAGAAACCTGATCCCTTTGTTTACTTTCAAAAAGATTTATTGCATCTTGAACACTCATACGCCGAACATTACCCTCAGGCTTCTTACTCTGTCCAGATCCTTCCTCTTCACTATCATCTGAAGCTACATCTTTATGAGAAAATATCTTTTCTCTAGCAGGAAAGTAACTAAGGCTCTTAATGGTCAGAGCAGGGGCTCTACGCGAGCCGCTTCTCCCTATTTGAACCCTTCGCATGGGAGATGCTGACCGTCTAGGCGATGCAGATCTTATAAGAGCTCGACTTCTTTCTGCAGATGTTTGATTCTCATCACTTGAGTCAGAAGATTCCTCACTTTCTGTTGAGCTCTGACGTTCAACCTGGGCAACTTTTGCTGGTGAAACACCATATTTAACTGGTGTTTCTGAACATACTGGCTTTGATATTTGATAATTTCCATCAGACTTAATTATGTTGTCATTCACTGAAGTACGACTACATGAAGACTTTTCATCATCTGGGGGATTAGCAGCTTGGCTCTTTGGGCTCAGCTCTAGGAACATGCACAAAAAATTCCTGTAGTAGATACTAACAAGATTATCTTTTGCTTATAATTTGTTTTAAAAAATGTTGTAAAAATTTGGGACCAAAATTTTTGGTAAGAAAGGATTGCATTTACAAATCCTTTGGGTAAATCAGAATTTAAAAGATCCATGCTTCTTTTTGAAGGCAACTTACTTTAAATCATTTGCTCCAAAATTTTCAGAAAATTTTGCTAGATGAGTGATTTCTTCATAGGAGCAGGTTTCTCCAACTGCCTGGTTAAAAGCTGCAATTAACTCACTCCTTAATGCTGTGAGTCTTGAGTTCATAGCACGTAAGAGCTCATTTCTAGCAATAAAATTTCCAAAGATTGGTCAGATTTGCAGGAAAACTAAAACACACTAACTAACTAACAACATATATATATATATATATATATATTAATGAAGTGAACATACTTTGAGGTATCTGATGATGAATTCTGGACTTTGGACTGCTGAGGTCAAATGCATATATTAGTGACCACAATAAATGATGGTGAAATAACATGTAGAATAATAAGATCAACTCCTAAGAACCTAGAAGAAAAAATTGATTACAAAAAGTTGTAAAGAATAGCAGTTACATTGGATGCCAGGACCACGTCTACCGATTTGCAGATATCTGTTGAACAAGGAAAGAGAACCATTAAATCTCTCAAAGCTTTTAGGCACCATTTATGCAACACAAAATTAAGGAGATTGGCAAGACAGAAAAGGGATACAACTTATGTCCCCAATTAGTTTAAAAGGAAACTTTAATCAAAAGAATACTAAAGTTGGAGCTTTTCAGTCTATTTGCTATATGAAATTGAACAGGTCGAAAGTAAAATAAGGAACAATACTCCTACTGTATCAAAGTATTTAAGAAGATTGTAACATTTAGAAAAAAAAACAAACAAACAAACAGACAATGAAACTAAGGGAATATATCAAGGCAATGACTAGTGTCCTACTCTGATTTCCTTCTACATAAGATTTACCTGTTTCGCTGCTTTCAATATGATCTTCATGACCCTAAGAAGATGAAACTTTTGTTATTGAGGACTCCGACATGATTAAAAATCCACACACTTAAGGACACAGGATCTTACCTTAGCATATAGAGAAAGATGAAATTTTCTAGTTTCCTCCAATTGAGACATCTCACCTTCAATAACTTTAACACTATCTACTAAATCCGTTGAACTGGCAATATGTAGGAACCTGAGAAAGTACAACGGTGCAAGGACAGTAGGCACCCACTGCTTTCTAGCAATATACTGACCAGAATGAAAAAATGGAAAATGTGAAATGCTTAAGGTAGTAAAACAATTAAGAACCTGCTCAAAGTGGCTTTAGTAAACCATGCAGCACTCTTTAGATTCTCAGGTGGTTGCAGTTTGAAGTTAGCATTCAATCCTTTGGTGTACAAGTGGCTTACTCCGGGTAAATGTGGCAAGAGTTTTTCCAGAACCCCAACAGCCAGTTTTTCTACTTTGTTGTCATGACATGTATATGCCTCATACCTAAGACAGCATGCAAAAATTTGAAATATCATTCTTAACAATAATAAGCCACTAAATTTAAGTGGTGAATTGAATTAACTTGTACTATATTTGGAAACATGAATTCAGGAGAATGAATTAGGATTTGATGTGTTATATAAATTGTGAGGATGAAATGCACACACCATGTAGAAATTATTTAAGATTCAAAATACCTATACATTTCAAAGAGTATAGGAAGATGAATTTAAAATTCACAAATTCATAAAGTATTTAAACTTCGTCACTAAATAGGGATGCCAACAAATCCATGAATACAAAAGTAATCACAAAAGTCATATTTACATGTGCTTTACCACATTATTTATACTAAATTTGAAATCGAAATTCCTTCCTTAAAGTTCAAATTCTCAAACCAAGCTTATAAGAATAGTAGTAACTAGTAACAAACAGAAGAGAGTGAAGTGTGGGGCTTTATTGATAAATATAGATGGAGAGACAGCTGGGTTTTTGGAATGAAAAACTGCGCACCAAAAAGCCCATAATTGAGGCTTGAGGGGATGAGTAAGAGAATTTGAGTGGTGGTGTCGACATGGGGCATGGGCACAACAGTTGGAAGAAGCTTTGACAAAAATTTGTTAGGAAGGAAGCAGGTAGCGACAGCATTGTACATCTGAAACCGAAGAGACTTGAGAAATCTAAATCAATCTAAAATCGAAATAGAGAATTTGATTGAACATTTGACAGAATGAATTCCTATAAATAGAAAGAGGATGCATCGTAAGTGAGTGGTCCCGTCCCGAGATGCAGATGCAGACGCAAGTTAGAAGAGAGAGAGAGAGAGAGAAAAGAGGAAGAACCTGTTTTGAGAAGGCAGAATCTGAATGGTGGCGTAATCTAAGGGCGCACCTCCATGTATTCCGCCGTCCATCTTTGACCTACACACAGAGAAGAGACAGAGAGAAAAGTAAGTAAGAAATGGGAGCTTAAAGGGTGAATAAGATGGAAAAATCCAGGTGCATTCAAGTCGGATCTGGAAGAAAAAGAGGGAGCACCGACAGAGTGAGTACTTGTGGTGTGGCCTTGACCTTAGCTACACCTTGCAGTAGTAATTGTAATTGTAAATGACAGTGAAAGTGAGAGCAAAAGAGAAAACAGAATCGAGAAATGCAAAATGGAGGATTGGTTTCCATCAAAGTAAAAAATGTACCTTTGGGGAGAGTGAAGCAGCGCAGGTGCAGCGGCAACTTAGAAGTGAGCTGAGGTCTGGTCTTGAAAGAAACAAAATCAATATGTGTTGGTGATAGAGAGAGATTGATTGAGGAGAAAGAAAGACAATGACAAACAGACGTTGGATGAATATATCGCCTTTACCTTTTGGTTCTGGATGTGTGGATGGATGGCGACTCCTCTCCTCTCCTCTCCTCTCCTCTCCTTTCTTCCCCTCCCCTCTCTCTATTTCATACTACTACTACTACTATCACCACTACTAGTTACTATTTGATTTGACGGACGCAAAATTGGAAATGGATGGGTGGATTAAATGTACTATTTGCGCCCTTTTTTTTTGTAAATAAAAATAAATATACTAATAAATTAATTACGTACAATAATACTCAAATTTATCCATCAAAATTAAAACAACTATACATATATATATATAGTAAAAGACAAAGTAAAAATTAAAAAGCAGTTAGAAGGTAAAAGGCGCGTGGATTTGATTGCCTGACAAAATCCATCAAGTCTGTCGTTTCTTCAAAAAAGAAATTCATCTAAATAAATCTGTCTAACCAATATTAATTAATAATACTAGCACTCGTATAATTACCAATAATAATACTGGTACTCGTATAATTACCATGATGTAATGTAATAATGGTAAGTAAGGTAAGTAAGGGAGTAAGGATAACGTCACCATTGGCCCTTGCCGCTCCTCTCCTCCTACGCGTCATCTCCACGCTCCCCTGCCACCTCAATTACAAATCTCATGTGGTTTCATATTCAACCTTTTTCCTCTTTTGTCTTTTTCTCCACCACTCATATTTTCATCTTTCTTTTCCAACCTCCAATTTAAATCTAAACAAATCAGATCTACAAAAAGGTTTATTACATTATTAACATGTATTCAAAATTTTAAATTTAATACATACTAAAAGGCCGAAAATGATTTTGTGATAGAGTGGTCCTAGACTTGATCCACACTGAACACTTTAAATATGTTTAAAATGTCTTCAAAAGAAGACATTGCCTACCTCCTTAAATTTATCTTTCAAAAAGAAGACAATAATCTCGTAATAAAAAAGAAGAAACAATAAAACAGTGAGGTCACTCTCTCTCTTTCTCGTATCTAAATAAATAAATAAATAAAATAAAATAAAGTAGTAGTGGTAGTAGTAGTAAATGAAAATGGATTAAAGGGGACAGCGGATGAAAGGAAAAGTGGCGAACGCAGTCACGTGATGATATGGTAATTGATTGATCAATGACCTGGTCTGGTCTGGAGCGCACCACCTTGTCCGTTGCCAAAGTATTCTCTCTCGCATCTTACTAACAATATTCATCATTCATTCATTCATTCATTCCAGCAACTGCAGTTGCAATTGCAATTGCAATTGATTTCATCAACCCCACACGCCACCATCTTTGCTTCTCATATCCATTTCCTCCCTTACCTAACACAAGAAGCAAACTCTCCAAATTTCTCTCCTCCCTTCTACGCAACATTTCATTCGCAAATGCTAACACAAAGCAACACAAAAGGGCTAGGGCTGGGGCTAGGCTAGGGCTGAATTAACACCGGAAACAAAATGACTTGATACAATAACACTTAATAATGGTACAGTTTCGTGAGACTCACAACCAACTCAACCTCCACGCAAGTAAATTACATTTCCTAATCACATCAACCCCATCAGTTAGACCACACATGAACTAGACCATGCCTATTCCCCGTGTATATCTCATTCCGCTCTTCATCATAAAAAAGTGCAGTAATATCTTCCAACGCTTCCGCCACCGTGCTTCTAATTCTTGACATATTGCTCTGCTTCTTTGAACTGCTGCAACCATAACCATAGCTGCATTCGTTTTCCACAGGGAAGCTGTTGCTTGCTCTTATTTTAGCAAGACACTTCCCAGTCAATATATTGCTGATATTGATGGACCCTGCCACACCACACATGCAAAAACTTGGTTAGATGCGCAAATAATGGTATAACAAATCCAGGTGACATCTTTTCCAGTTTCCATGTTTCCCAAATCACTATAAAACCGTCCTTAATCCCCTCCCCACCCGTTCCCCTTTTTCTCCTCCCCTTCATTATATAGGGTGAACTCCAACATGCATATATCCTTTCAGAACCACTAGGAATCCATGAAAACTTTCCACCATCCAATTGAAAATGGCTAGCCAAGCCTAACAAAACTCATAAAAATGCAACTCCATGCCCTTCACCTACCCAAATCCGTAATTTGCCAAAAAGGCCAACAAACAATAAAGAAAGAACAATTCAACAAGGCATTTAAATCATTTATAAAAAAATCGTTAGGATACGAAAGCAATTTTACAGTCTTTTTATTTTTCAAAAAAAAAGATTTACAGTCTTTTACAATGTAATGTAAAATTGATGATAAAAGAAACCCCTTCACTGATGTATTAGAATTACTTTTTACTGCATAACATTTCTTTTGCAACTGCTCTTCTCTACTTTACTGTTTCTTTAAGCTTTATGCAAGCAGTTGACCAAAACGACAAGCTTAACCTCAATCCAGCAGATCAAATTTTCAAATTGACATGACAGAGATAAATAAGAAAACCTAAAATGGAATATAAGATAAAGATTTCCAGAACAAAAGAAAGATACAGGAAACAAAGAATATTAATGTTGTATTTTCCAGAAAATAACAAGTTTAAAGAAAGAATATACAGACCATTTCCTTCAGACAATGGATCATCAGAATCAGCCTTGCAGTAAGAGATAATGAGATCCTGATCACTCGTGATATATATATTATTAGTGTTGCAGTCAGGATGCCACAAAAGGTGATCCTCAAATGAAGTTACAAGCTCTCCACGGAAGTTCCACACAGCCACTGTCCGATTTCTAAATGTCAAGAATAACTGGTTCTCATACAGAAATATAAATGCTGACGGTGTCATAAATTCATTTTTGCTAACTTCAGTTAGCTCAGAATTGCGGACCTGCACAATTACAGTTTTTTTTTAGCTTTAATATATGAATAAGATGCCAACATATTGACAAAGATACAGCCCACATTACATTTCTTTTAGCTTTAATATATGAAAAAGATTGCAATATATTGACAAAAATACTCACATCAAGAATCTGGAGGTTTTCATTTTCTTGCTTGACAAGAAGCTTCTCATTGAACTGTTCAATAAAATCCACCTTCTTATTCCGGTGAAGAAGATGACTAAATGATTTGAGAACAGTACCATCCTCTATTGATAGAATCTTAAGAGGAACATGGCCACCAACTTTACCGAAAATCAATAACATGATCCCTGGACTATTTAAGAAGATATAGCAGACACAAAGTCAATAAAGTGACACCGCCAAAAGCAAACAAGTTAAGGCACATTTGCTTGTTACTTTTAGCACTTACTTTATGCTTCCAGGAGCAAATGGCAAATTCTTGTTTGGACTAAACAATAATTATAAATTATTAAAAAAACTGTAATTCTTTTCTGGAGAATAGAATGCATTGTTTTACTTTTGAAGAGAACAGTTATGCTAAGACCCTTTCATTTTAATTATTCTCTCATCTTGCACCAATTTTTTTGCCATCTATCATTGGATTTTACTTTTTAAGAAGTAGACAGCAAGTAGTAAAAGCAATAACCAAAAGGAGCCAAAAGTATCAACTATTGATACAACCAAAAGAATAAAAGAAAATCATAAAGGTCACCCTTTTTCTATCAATAAATGAATCTTTATTTCTCTAACTAGCAGATATAACCAGTATGTAAGAGCATTACCTGATCTTAATCTCTTGAACATTTTTATCGGATATGGAGTATAACATTGTATAATTTTTGAGGTCAAACACCTTGTATATACTGATTGACAAACAAAAACAGTACATATCAAACTCATGAAACTAGTACAGATCCAATTATTATAGTTTAGCACAAACGGACATTCATATTAATGAGTACTTACCTATCCTGTGCAGAATATGTGAGTACCTTCCCATTCACATCATCAAACTCTACAAAACCAGGCCATTTCAGTGACTCAGATTCAAAAAGAGCAAAACCAGCATCAGGTTGACCTCTCCGTATGTATCTGTCATAAAACAGAATCGTTTCAGAAAAAAAAAAAAACAAATTAACATTAAACATTACAATGCCCAGATGCAGTATTCCACATTTTCTTTCTCTTTTTCTCCGTTTGGCTCAAGTTGGGATAAGGTAAGGGTTGTAGAGAGATGAAAAAAGATTGACATACTCAATCCTCGTGCTTCTGCATTTCAAGGAGCTGAAATTGTCTGAAGCATATACTGAGACCGTGATAAGTGAATCATTGTTTTTGTTATAAAACAAGCTTCGTATAACTTCATCAGCGGTGACATTTAGAAAGCATATTCTTTGATTAGTCTCTGCATCCAACAATAAAAAACATCAAGATTCCCATTCTGATTCTGGATGCAAACAGAAATAGACAAGGCCATCTAGAATAAGTTTAGAAGTGTCAAACACAGTTCCTACCTCGACTAAATGCTGCACATACACCAGACTGGGCGAGAGCAAAGACAATATCCCGTGCAGCTACAATCTCTATTATCTTTGACCTCTTCCTCAGAAACGGTAATACCATAGAACAATGTCCTTTTGGATCATGAGTATCATATTCCTCCTATTTATATGCAACATATCACCAACAGAGATTTAATAAGCAAGATCAATAAGAACAGCAAAGCACAGATCTGTCCCTACAGCTACACAAGTAACGTATCATCCATGGACCTTTGAACTTAATCTTTTGTTTGATAGACTTATAACTAAATAAAAGGAAAGAATTGCCCTTTTCCATCTCCTTATAAATGCAGAAATAAATACACGTATTCCTATCCAACCAAGGTGAACTTCTTTAAATAGCAGAGACGTAATGAGTTTTTCCTGAATACCAGAAAATGCATATAAAGCATCTACTTTGTGATATCAACCTACGTATTTGACCCCATGTGTCTCACTCAAATTTTTCAGGTAAAGATTTATCATTTGTGGAATAATCATCAGCAGGGATCTTTTGACACAAATATTCCACCATTTCAAACTTTTGTGTGGCTCGTACCGTTAATCATCTTAAAGACTTGAACAGCCATAAATATAAAAATCATCAAACTTTCCACAATAACGAAAGTGGATAAGGTTTGTAACAATATCTCGTAAAGTAACATTAAAATCGTCAGCATGAGTAGAAACTATTAAACATATAAGATGTATCAAATTGAATTGAACATTAAGGATGCAAAGCAGGAGTTCCCTTTGTTCCCTTCCATAAATTTGCAACTAGGGTTAAGCTAAGGTTTGGACTTGGAAGCATGAGTACATAGATACTTCAACTGAAACCCTATACTATAAAGCAGAATTCTCATACAACTTGAACAACAACGAGAAAGAAGAAGAGGAAAAAGATGAATTTAAGTTTATGCTCCCTAAATGAAAAAAAAAAATCCTAATTAGGGAAAACACAGGACAGAAAACAAGAAGAAAGAAAAAAAAAATCATACATGAATTGCAATATAAAAGAGAAATTGCGGCAATAATATAGTAATAATCAAAGGAGTAAGGTTAGGTTAACTAAGTAAAAGAAAGAACCTGCAAGCGAATGTTACGGAAGCGCTCCTGGGCGTCGGTGATGGAGAAAGCACGATGTCGCTTGGAGCAGATTTCTCTTCGCTGCAGTTTCTTGACGCTGTTAACGAAGGAATCCGCTCTCCCTCTTTTCTTGGATGCTACTATTCTCCGTCCGCTGCAAGGCCTTGGGCTCACCGCTATTCTCCGCCCACCATCCATATCTTCAGTTCTCCTTTGTATCTACCTAAGCTCTAAACAAAACCCTAGCTCTGCAAACACCCAAAAGCCGCTGCTGGTGGTGGCGCTGGATTTCACCTCCCATCAAATTCACGGCCTCCTCCAACTTCTAGGGCTTGCTTACTGCTATACTGAAGGATTATCTACTACAGAAACATTCTCTATTCTCTAGCAAAAGATAAAGATTTCTTTTATTTGAACTAATAAATCGACAGAACAAGTTTTCCTAGTACTGAACTTGAACCAGTAACAACCTCTTCTCTCTCAGATTCCAGTAAAGACGCCGTCCGATCTCCTTTTCAATTTCGAATTGACATAAATACTCACAATAATATAATAATATTATTATTATTATTAATATTTATTTATTTTATATCTATCTTTCTGTTTCAAAAAATACTTTATCGTAAATATTATATATTATTATTTATGCAAAATTTGAAATACGGAATTGGGCCTAGGTTTTTCAAACTAGGCTTACCTCACCCATGTCCAGTTGCCCACTTCATTTCTTCGAGTGCTGGCCTACTTAATACAAATCCATATACTCGGCCCAATTTGCTCTGCTCAACTCATCCGCCCCCATAGCTCACCAAATACTTACCCCTTTTTAATTTTATACTTTTTTTTTAATTTTTATCGAGATTAAGTAAAAGTTTTGAATTTGATGTATTTCAGATTAATTTTGAAAATTTCTTTATAATAATATTTTTTCAATGCTTTTTCATATGATATAGTAAAAATAATCATGAAAAATAAATTTTATAATATGAAAAAAAAAGTGTATTGTATAAGTGTAAATTGTATTGTGAGACATTTAAATGAATGTTTAGGGAAATCTTATTTCTATTACCCTATACTAATATAAGCTGATAATTTAATATGCCCATAAAATCATCACATGCCTTGAAATATGTTTATATGTGTGATATCAATAAATTGGATATTGATATTCTTAAAAGCATATGGTGTAATAGTAAAACCCCAATTTGAAAATAATTAAATCCCCAAAAGCAATTGAAACATGAACAAATTTCGAAGTAAAATATAATTCTAAAATTAGAATTATAGATAGGGATATCCAACAGGTAAGGTGCTTGTTATAGGATACTTGAACTCTACAAATGCTCGATTAAATTTTTTACTCAAAGTTCAATACTCGATTAAAATAATAAATTAAAGTTAGTGAGCTCATAAAAAATAAATTTTAAATCATATTTAAAATAATTAAAGAATTTTAGTAAATATTACATTAATTATAAAAAATAATATATATAAAAATTAAAATTTAATATTAAGAATAAATATTTATAATTAGATTTGGATAATGGATATCCTAAATCACTAAGCGAACCCTACTTGAACTCATGACAAGCAATAAATTTATTTCTTGAACTAGATTATAGGATATCTTAATATTAATTATAAAAAATAATATATATAAATTAAAATTAAATATTTATAATTAGATTTGAATAATAGATATCCTAAATCACTATCCGAACTCTACTTGTACTCATGACAAGGAATAAATTTATTACTTAAATCGGATTATAAGGTATCCTAATTTTATTTAGTGAGGTTGAATAAGACACCCGAGCATAAAATAATTATTGACATGGCTAAAGATAGAAGGTAGAAGGTAGGAGCCATGAAATAATTTTGATAGTGTCACGGGGTACACACCTTCCATGATATTTCAAAGTGGAGGAAACGGACAAAACCAGACTACATATATAGCTAATCATGCAATCATATCATGGCAAAATGAAGGTAATGTGCATCAGCATGTGTTCTCTAGAGTGTGAATAATTGGCTACTTGGTTTTGTCAATTTTATTTAGTAATTTATTATTACATGGTTTCTGATTTGGTTAAAATCCAAAGAGGAATAGCTGATCAAGTGCAAGTAATTTTGACAAGTGTCCAGTGAGAAACATGTGGGGATGTGTGTGTGTATATATATATATATATATATATATGTTGTGTTAGGTTCATGCACTGCGGTGATGATGAATGCCATGAGTGAAACTCTCTGCATGATGAATGATGATGAAGACGAGACACAAGAATTCAAGGTGCAGATAATAATGTGGCAACTTGCAGGGGCAAAAATCAAGGACACATGGGTGAGGTGAGGCATCAAAATTACGTACAATCAAATCCTAAGCCTTGTCCTAACAAAATAATTAGAGACTCGAATTCAAGAATGGAGCATCTCAGGGCTCGCAAGCTTGACTCTTTTGTCAGCGGGTAAAAGATGTTCATCTATGTGTGTGCATGTATGTGTCACGATGTCATTATCCTCTTGTATTTATTTACTCACTGGGCTTGGCATGAAACATGCTTGGTGTAGCAATGTTAGCGAAGCCCCACCGGGCAGGCATCAAGCATGCGGGATGTGACTGCATAGGCGCAGAAGCAGATGATAGAGTAGTACGCCTTGAAACCAACGGCAGATGGAGGTGCTCCTAAAGCGAGGCATTGCAGCAAAGGAAAGGATTATTGATATACTATTCAATTTTGCAGTACAGACTGGAAAATACACTAATTTTGTGGTGGTGGTGGTGTTCCTCACTCCATTCCAGGTCCAGGATCTCTTCATTTTCACTGCACTACCCACGTAATTTCGTGCCCTTAGGACCACACAAATTTCATTACCATTATATTAAAATTTATCTCATTTTCAGTTCTTCACGAAACCACCAGGGACAGGGACAGGGACAGAGACAGGGGAAGATAAATTCTTATACAAAGAAAAGAAGAGATTTAGCCGATCCATACCCACTTTTTTGACCCCAATTGTCGGCATTGCATTATCCCATGTGGGTCAAATTATTTTCTTTTTTTGGTTGGTTGTTGTTTTGCATTCAAATGTAAATCTCAATACCCATATCTTAGCAAATTCATTTCCTTCCTCCTTGTAATCAACGTGATGCGATTACGGTTGTCTCCACTCCTGACTTGATCATTAGGTTTTTACTGTTGGTTTTACTGTCAACTTTGGGGAATGAACATTGTGGCAGTAGAAAACACCAGTAGTCATAAAAATAATTGCAACAAGTTCGTATAATTTAATGGTTATGTCCCTATCTCCACACCAAGTCTCCCAATAACCTTGGTGTCGAGGTCTTTCACAGGTCACTCCATTGCGTCCAATCATCTTAGCAGAGTTATATGAAGTGTGAATTAATGTGCAAAATGTCATGCGCGTCCTTCAGCCCTTGCTTCCGGCTTAAAGTCTACTGCTCTACTTGCTATAAATAGAAGCTCATCTGCTTCCGCCACATTCATTCATGTATCCTCTCTCTCTTTCTGTCTCTCCCTTCGTTCCTCTGTTAGAGTGAAAACCAAAAGAAACCCAGAAAGATATGGAAGACTCCCTTTCTTTGTCTCTGAAAGTGATCTCTTCTCTTGCTCTTATGGGAGTGGTTTGCTTCTTTGTTCATCTCTACAACACCATGTGGTTCAAGTCGGAAAGGCTGAGGAGGAAGCTCTGGATGCAGGGTATCAAAGGTCCATCGCCTTCATTTATATACGGCAACCTCCCTGAGATGCAGAAGATCCAACAGGAAGCCGTTCGGACTCCGGATAATGCTCAAATCGTTGCTCACGACTATACTTCCTCTCTCTTCCCATATTTCGTACAGTGGAGGAAGGAATACGGTAACACCCTTCCTTTCATAACATGTTTTAGTTTCTTGTTCTTAGTAAATGACCTTGTCTATATCGATGTTTCTGCAAAACTTTCACACCTCCGCTATGCCATTCTTTTATCACTGTACCATTGCCTTATCACATGTTACACCAGAAACACTGTGTGAACATAGAAAGGAAACAGGCTAAAGATGTGATGTGCTCAAAGCATGGCTCACTGCCTTAACTCTTTCCTTTATTGCTCTTACCATATTTTTTTATTGGATAGTCTTCACTTTTGAGAACCAACACCATGGGATCTCTAAATTTTTATGAAGAAAATAACAGCCATGACCAGCTTTAGACAAGCAACTTCCTCGGCTACTGCAAAGTCGGCAACTTTTAACTATAGAATACGAATTGTTTTATGACACGAATGAGTTAGACAAGGACTCGAAGAATAAATATTTTTTTATTTATGATTGGGACAAGACTCAGAGAGAGTAGAGTAGATATTTAATCTTCTATGCAATATAATATATATGTCATTTGAAAGGAAGCTGTGGTGATTGGGGCAACAGCGTAGCCATGAATCTGATAAAATAGCATCAACCGTCTATGAAGTGCCACGAGTAGAGCTGGCATTGCTGGGGCAGACGCTGATGTTTCAGTCAACTCTGTGTTTCAGACCTGTCCCCCATCAATAATTAAAATTCCCCATTTCACAGCAAAAATCCAACGTACGCATTTGGTCAACCAATCAAACATTTTGTGACCCTGCTGCCTTATCGTTTAGCAATGCTAACAATAGTTTTCATATCCCTTTTTGCTTTTCTTTTCCTTCATAAATTTTGTCCATACTATACATGTGTACATGTGTGGCTGATAGGATATTTCTTTTCTGCTCATATGTAACATGCAGCAGGTGAAACCATTGGCAGGTTGATTATGATTAATATCAACATGGAGTTAAATTTTGGGTGTTTGGAAAAATAAATGCAGGTCCAATCTACACGTATTCAACGGGGACAAGACAACACTTATATGTGAACCAGCCAGAGCTAGTGAAGGAAATGAACCAATGCATTACTTTGGATTTAGGTAAGCCTTCTTATATAACAAAGAGACTAGCACCCATGCTGGGGAACGGCATTTTGAGATCCAACGGCCTCGTTTGGGCACAACAGAGGAAAATCATCGCACCTGAGTTCTTCATGGACAAGGTTAAGGTAGTATGTCAAATCACTATAATATGAACCAATGCATTTTCATAAGTCCTGTGCATTTTGATGTTGGTTTTTGATAGAAACTCGGTTTGGGTCCTAAACTGACGAAGCAGGTGATGGTGGGGCTAATGGTCGAGTCGATACAATCCCTCATAAGAAAATGGGAGGACGGTATTGAGGCACAAGGCGGGGTGATGGCAGACATTAGAGTGGATGAGGATTTGAGGGGCTTCACAGCAGAAGTCATCGCTCGAGCTTGTTTTGGGAGCTCTTATTTTAAAGGAAAGGAGATCTTTTCCAAGCTAAGGAAACTTCAAACAGCCATTTCTAGGGACAGCTTCCTTTTCGGAGTTCCTGGATATGGGTACTAGCTCTTTTCACTTGCCATTTAATGTGTTTCAGATAAATCATCTATCAATTACATTTCCATGTGTTAAAGTCATATCTTCGGTTTCTTCCACGTTTC